ATAATTCCTTGTGTTAAGATCCAAAGCAAAGGATCTCTGCTCTTGATCGACCAGAAGGTCTTTTAGGGGTGATTTTTTTTACATTCCTGCGTTCATAGAGAGAAAGAGACGTTGGGCGTCGAACCATTAGACTTACATTAAGTTACAGAGATCAGACCCCCCCCCCCTCCGCTCCAAAAGAGAATGTTCGCCTCGACATATGACCTACATACGAAATCAAAACGACAGGTTTTGCTAAATCTGTGTGTGATATCTGAAGTATTGGATACAACAGCTGTTCTTATCAATAACGATTGATCAATAACGATTCCTACCCCCCCCCTTTCTTGTGTTGGAATTTCGGACATTTTCAGGTCATCTATGATGCCCAGGGGTGTCAAAACGTCTGCCTAACAGATATAACTCATTTCACACACTATGATAGATGCATGGAAAACACAATACTGTGTAAAAGATTAAAGAGTACTATGGAAAGGAATATTTATCTAGCTTACATTCTAATCCCTAGGTGATTGATGATGATGATGATGGTTTGTCCAGTGTATGTTGCGAAGAAAGCCAACAAAATCGTGTAAAAAGCATAGCAATGAATTACGTAACATATCAAGATTACCCTATAGGATGACATCCTTCTAAAGTCTTCGTATCTTAGCTGGTTGCTGTATTTTCTGTATGAAATTGTTTATAAACATCACAGCTGGGTGTTAAGCAAGCAAAGCCTTTAGAATCCCCCAGGACAACAAGAGAGTTGCTCGGTCGAAACGACGATAAACCTCGGGGATTATGACTACTTTGTTAATAGACCCTAAGATAGAATTTTGTATCATATTTCATCATCTGAAACATTTACATCCACGATACAAAAAAAATGATGACCCAATTTCCCTACATTATACATGTACAAGTCTCCCCATGGAAGTATCGCATAAAGGAAGAACCCTGCAGCCAACTTAGATCAAAGATTGTCGTTACTTCAAAGAATAACATTGCCAGCCAGAAGGGATGTAATACTAGATAGTAGATCTGTACTGTGTTTATTGTAACACAAACCCACTTTGATTGGTCGGCTTGTTTGATCTAACTATGAACAGGTGCGTTTGACAAGATCGCCATCTGTTTTAACGACGATAAAAATGCCAGGATGTGGATATAGACTGATCTATGACTCCCCCATCTGGTCGCTTTGTTACGTACTTTGATTTTAGATTACAACTTGCTGTTTCAGTCAGGTAAAATTGAGTCAAAGTGGTGACTAGAAAAGCCTTTTCCGTAAGAATCATATATATTGAAGTTGATAAATAAATGTAAAAGGTTTGCAATACAGCCTGGATACAGAGGGGGTCCGAACATCAAACCCTGCGGCACACCTAGCACGAACGTATCCTAGTATAGAAACGGGTATACAAATGCTCACTTAAAAGGGTAAGTCAATCCATTAGCGTGATGGAGTTAAGGATATGAAATGGTGATTTCTTTTTATGTTTTTATGTTTCATACAACAGGACCACGCCAGTGCCGGAAACGTGGACGAGTGTGTGCCTGAAGTTTTGGTCTCAGAAGCCACACGAGGCCATGAGGCCACAATCTTTACGTCCCATCTAAAAGGACATCCATACCCATTTTTATATGACCCTATAGTGGATCTTTTGCTAGACGTTGCAATTGTCGCCTGCTAGGGGTTTGAACCCAGGACGATTCTAAGTGTCGCCCAGTTTTGTCCTAGAACTAATAAAAACAAAGTACATAGTAAAGGGGATTTATTCCTCAAGCTAACCGCCATCTCGCACACGCAGTCGTCCCTCAGTAAGACACCTGGAGCCGCATAGTTCCCGTTTAGAACTTTCATTCAGCCTGTCACGCTAATAAAAACAAAGTTATCACTGCTTGCAATCCAAAACTAGGCCTTTAGGACTGTCTAGATACAATAAAAAACATTTAGACGATCTCTAGCTTAAGGAGCTGATCTTTACCGTGAAGGTAGTTCTTCCAGCGTCTGTGTCATAAAAACGCCGCTTGTTAGTCGCAGCTTCTAGTAAAAAGCCTCACCGCCAGAATAACAATTTTCTGCCCACGCGGACCGGAGTCCCGTGTTTTCAGACGTAATGACTCCCCGAAGGAAACACTCACCTAATTTGCACAGCTCTCCAGAGCGCCTATTTTACCTTCAAGTGCTTTAATGCATACGCGGTAGCAACGCGATATTTGTGGCATATTGTTTTGGCTTTTCATATCGCAGCATGTAAGTAACAAGGTACATTTCTTCTAGTCTTTGGTGATGCGATCAGATAAAGTGGTATTGGAACTGAGTGGTTTTCAATAGATATTTTTTAATCTTCTAAGCTTTATGTGCCAAATTTTCGTGTATTTTTTTTGCAATGTAATTATGTGAACTTTCTTATGTAAGTTGTTTTCTAGAACATGAGCAAAAGAAGTCTTTCATGTTAGCGCTTTCTAACCCAATGGCATCAGTACAGAGTAACAAGTTTATACGAAATTCTTCCCCAAAGGCTTTTGATAGTAAGGTAATAAGACAATAGCAAGATCGAAAAGAAAACCGTTCTAAACGTATTACTGATCAAAAGATCTTTTTCATGGTGCCCTTTGGAACAAATTTATGGATGTTGCGTTTGATGTCAAAGCAGAAAAATTAAAAAAAAAAACTCACTAGAAGTGATGTAAGACAAGTGGATAGATGGATAAGGGAAAATACATAAAAGCATTTGTGAAAAATTAGGACGTTATTTTAAAAATGAGAATGTAAGAATCAAAGAACGAACGCACAAGCCTCTCAATAAAGTTTTATGTTTTCTTCCAGACGTTTGATATCATAAAATCCTACATAAACGGTCACGTGAATTGAAGTCACCTTTACAAGCCTTGTCATGACGCGAGTCGCACCCACACATTATAAAATTAATGTTCCCAAAAGTTTGATTACCGTTATTTCACACCCATTAATTCTCAGACTTGGGAATTTGCTTTCTAATTTTCGTCCCTCCGTTGAGATTTCCCTCCTGTAGCAGAATTTTACGCCTCGCCGGCTGGTGGAATCACCTGACGTAATTCATTCTCTACTGTTTTCGCTCCCAAGCCTTCGAATCTTTAACTCATTATGCTTACCGAAGGAAAACATATTGTTTTTGCTCTGTTTCCTCTTCTTCTTCTCCTTCAAACCAATAAGGTCAATGACCAGAACCAGCGGTCTGTCACCATGGTAACAAGTGTTGGGTTACATAATATTGCAATTTTATAGCAAGAGGGATTTAGACTGCAGTCTGACCATATATATGAATGTGCTTGAGTTAGAATTTACATAGCAGACCATATGCGAAGGTTAACATTATGCATTTGCTTTGCAAATGCTACCTTTCTAGTTTAAAACTTGTTTTTATTATATACAACCCGCAGACGTACATCTCGTTTCAGTCTGAATTTTGTTAAATATTTAAGATACAGCTCCATAGTTTTTAAAATTTGCGTACAAAGTTATAAAAGCAATCAATTATTTCTCTTAAAATTCACTTATCATAAAAGCTAGCGCTAGTTTCAGTCTAACATTCTAGAAAAACATATACTGGTCAGGATTAGTACATAAATATGCATATACATATAGAATAAGTACATTGTTCCATACTGTGAGAGCCTCTACATTGTTTTCAGACAAGCACACCCGGAAACTACCCCTGATGTTTATTTACGTCGATGTTAAAGGGCAAGGCGTAGATAGGGGGACAGGAGAGTTAAGGGATCGGGTGTGACGTGTCTTATGTGTTACTGCCGCAAGGTCACGTACTCGGCCCACACGTCACCGGATTCCAATCTCCCACGGTTCCCTACGGTCAAACGTGTGACAGGAAAGCCCTGTTACAGCCGCTTGGTATTCAAATTTGTGTGAGAAAGAGTAATGGGCAGCTAGACACAATAGGAACTAATGAGAATCCACACACAATGGAATATGGCCTGGTTGGTATGAATAGAATCTACCATGTAATTGCAACCGTGACAACTACCGCAGCTGAGACGGGGTATTAATCACCGAGTAAAAGAAAAAAATCAATCGACCCACGGGCCGGGCCTGGGCCGTGTGTTTGACAGCAAAGGTCGTCGGGCGTTTTGGGTCGATACCATCATATCTCGTATTCATTACAAGATATTAGGAAAAATACCTGGGGCTGATATGCAGCTGCGTCCTAATGGCTTCATAAGTGCCCTGTACGGGCTTACCTCAGCATTTGTGAAATAGAAGAGCTCCTCTTTGCTAATCTGGGAACTCTATCGGCTTATAGGATAAGCCGCTCCAACACAGATAGGCGAGAACTGTGGTATCAGTACGGGCCACGGTAATGATACACTATGGGCGAGAGGCAGTGTTCAATACAGGGTATCCAATCGAACCACTTAACGGTGTGGAAAAGGTGTGATGAGAGCAGAGATAGTGATAAAGACGTAGCGAGGATGGACCTGATTCGGATGTACGCTTCAACGGACTTAAAAGGCTTATCACAGGAAGGTTTCACTCTAATAGTACATGACAGCAACAATGTGGAATATAAGGAAGAAAGAAGGTGATACCGTATCGGATCCGTTGGGGTAGACAGATCTACGTTTTGCGTGCTTGAAATTACAATCAAGGCGTTGCGGAAACACTAAACTAGTGTTGAGCTGCACAAGTTTCTAGTTTCAAAACATGAGCAGCACGGTTGACATCCTACACCCGCCCTATGTCTACTGTACATGGAGGCAAAAGGAACAAAAATCAATTGCTTTCCGAGAAAGAACCGATATTTGGCATGGGTGCCCCTTTGGTGCAAATGTGCAAAGCTTGTCTGCCAAGGACAGGTAAAAAAATATGTTTGAGCGATCTGTGTGTCACGGGAAGGGTGGGAGGGGGACTGCCGTTAACAACCTATGGCAGATTCACATCGGCCCTGTCCCAGGTGCTGATTTGTCTGCTGTGGTGAGATTCATCACGAACCAAAGTGACGTGAGCTGGTACTCACCGGCAGGGACCACCTGCATGTTGCGGTTCATCGCAGCTCATCGTCCGTCCATGGTGGGGAGTTTCGCCGCTAGTGGAGACCAGGAAGAGACGATTCCGTGTCCGTACCACCACACCATGCTTGCACCGCGACGACGGACGGGCGTAACCAACGCGGCGTATTGTCTCTACTTCTTGTAGTGACGTAGCAACACTCTCTTTGTACAGCGCAAAGGCTCCCCTCTTCAAAAGCTTCTAAGCAACCGACAAAGCGAGCGGCTGCCTCGTTGGATCACACGCTGCCCACGAAATTATAGATCTATATTTGGCACCGGGAATGAAGAGAGCCATCTGAAAATGAACACCTTCGCCAAGGTCGCTCACTCAAAAACTATTCCATTCTTCCACTCACAGAATGTACCATCCTCTTCCTGTCGCTGTGTATCATCCAGTAAGAGTCCAAATGGCTAGCAACGGCACACCACAGATTCTATTAGCTCTATGGAACTAGAATGGTCTTCAAAATAAATGAATCGTGCGCGGCGAGACATACAGCCTAGCCATTAGTCCCTGCCGGAAATGAAATTCTACCGTCAGGACAAGTCGGAAGTGGAAAGTACACCCCTTTGAAATGCCATGGAACCGAACGGAACACGTCAAACCTCCTGCAGACCGTGGGTGGTCTCTGCAGACTTCAGACGCGAGGTTTCAGGACGTGACAAGAAGTGAGGCGCCGCTCTCAGCGGGGAGAAAATGTCGATAATTGTTTGCACTGTGCCGCTCAAGTATTGAATCAAACCTTTATACATACACAATCTGCAGCTAAAGACTCTCTTACAGACAACGAGCTTTTGTCCACAGATTCACTGACGAGAAAATGAATTTAATGGTCAATTTGGACGCGTCTTTCTTGCTCTAATTGGGATATTCAGACGACGAAAAGGCAATTACGTCCCAGTGACGTTGCTCGATACGGCTGTGTCTTGTAATGAGTTCACTTCGGGCGCTTGGGGAGGGGCTTGGTTCCCTCACTTCTTGTACGTGCCACCTGTGTATGCGGATTAACTCTTCACTTGATGGCTTCTCCGCGAGACCTTGCATGTTTGTAATCCTCTTACACTTTGCGAAGGACATCTCTAATTTGGCGCGAGGCAGGGTGGAATAAACCAGGTTTCGGTTCAGCGTTCGTCTGAAATCTAGGTATATTCCATTTCCTGCTTCATTAGTGACACAAGTCTCCATCCGTGGAATTGAAGCTGCTTTTAAGCCGGGAAGAGGTCACTGATAAGGTCCTATAACGCGAGAGCCACCCGTACGCAGGGGGGATCTAGGCGCACGCTAGCACGTTTCACGACAAGATTTCCGTGTAAATCGAGCGTTAAAAACATCTGCAGAGATCTTTCGGGAACGACCTCTAGGCCAGGAAAATGCACCAGTGATGATGATTGCCGCACGACACGTCAATCACATGGAGGGACGATATTGCCTGAGCTACCCCCGAGACTGAGAGTTCGGTAACCGTAGACGATTATCGTGAAGCAATAATATGCGTGCGGAAGCTCAAAACGGGTAATTTATGCATTTTATTCTAAGAATGTTGTATGTCACATCACGAAAACGCACGGAAGACACACGCTCATTTAAGCCACCTAGAAAAACAGATTAGAGTCTTCATACCAGTTTTCAAGCGATCAAAACCCATGAGATCATTAAGATATCAAAATGACTAGAAATTAATGTAACATTTGTAGAGCAAATGCACAATGTTTACCAATGCATGGTTTAGCCTAACAAGCTACTGCTTTCTTTATTATTGTCATTGACCAGGCCCCAACTGTTTTGCCACTGCTACATAATGTAATCCAACTCCACAAGGTGTCTGCTACAGCACCAGTTACCAGACGAAACGGAGCAAAAATATATCTTTACCTTCTTTCTTTTCATATTTCTCAAGGGAAACAAAGTTTGGTGTTACGGAATGAAATATATAGGCATGCGTTTAAAACATGTCATGAGAGATCTTCTAGGTATATTTTACATTCACACACGATTACCAACGAAACGCAACAATACACAGATTACATGCAAACGTACGATACGTATATAATATCTCCCCAACAGACTTGGCCCACGCTATCGACCATTCCTAGCCGTCAATAAATTCATTTTCGCTGAAGGACCGGGCTAGCGTGCCTAACTGACCCCATTTCCGTCCGGTTGATTAGGGATCGGGCTCCGGCCGTCCTGGTGGAATTTGCTGCCTGCCAGCGGACGCCCAAGTGCCCCAGTTGCATTCATCATCACTACCGGCTGCCACAGTTTTTTTTTTACCTCCATGAAAAACGGAGGTATTGTTTTTGGTCTGTATGTGTGTTTGTGTGTGCGTGTTTCCGCAGGTTGTAATGGTTAAGGCTGGGTTCAGTTTGTCCCAGAAGATCAAGTCATTAATTTCAACATCTGACCAGCATGCACTCGCTGCTTTCACAGGTATCAATCATTATATGGCCCCCTTGACAGCTGTTGCCCCATGTGCGATGTGGGAGATTGGATCAGCCTTTTATTCAAGAGATTTTCACCCCCTCCTTAAAGTGGCGACACTTGTAGACACCATGGTGAATAAGAAGAGGCTCAAAAGAATAATTATATTTACACAAGACTGAATATTTTATGGAGGTGTGAGATCTCCGAATTCTTGTTATCCATGTAGTCTCTTAGAATTTTTTCATACATCCACGAGAGAAAGTATAAAATTGTTTTGCTCTAAAGGCATCAATATCTTACAAAGGAATTGTAAAGGAGTTAATATAAGCAAGCCTTATGAACATAGATATGCCCAAAACAATGAATTCATTCAGTGCATCAACTCTGAACAGTCTGCAAAGATGGTTGTAATGCGTGAAGTCTTGCAAACAAAATAGTGGCCGAGTCTTAACAGGGCTATTGGAGAGGGTATTAATACATTAATCCCATTATGAGCCGAGTCTATGCCCCTCTGTTGGACTGTGATAAGTGGGTTTGTGTAGCTCTAAATGTGCCTCCATAACACGTGTCCCCAAATGGGTGATGTAAAAGCCATTATTGTTCAGCTAAGTGCCCACATTACGGCTTTAGCTTTTATTACATCGACTATCGTGGCACCGTCCTGTGCAGAAAGATCCTAAGTGGCAGGCACTGTGCCACTTATCGTAAGTGATTTCAGGTTACAATGCTTCTGGTGGCCCAAAACGTAGGGATAAAAGTACCAGTGTGCCATCATCAGTGACCACTTAGAGGTAAGTTCATCTTCTGTCTTCATTCTACTTCTCTCACGATCAGTAACTATTGGCTAAAAGGCTGGCTTAATCCCATCAAAAACATTCAACTGTCAGATGTCATTATGTCAGCAGTGCACTTTGCTCTCCCCATCCATACATCAACGATTACAGATACAGGGGGTGCTATTTGTCAGTCTTAGTTTGACAATGCCAGGGACACGCGGAACTAAATATGGAAAAATAGTTCATCCTGATAGTGTACTGAAATTTGTTTTTATATTGGAATTACATGTAAATCTGTGATTATGAAATAAAGACTAAGCTTTAACTTCCAACAATGAATTGGGACTTACCCCAATTATTTGTTATTGTAGTTAGTGTTGGAAGTTAAATCTTAGTCTTTATTCCATAATGACTTGTACCAACACAGATGAACTTACATGCTAAATCCATTATTGTTTGCCATTCTGAAATATCATAATGCTTGTTTTCAAACCATATCTGGGAAGTATATTGGTACTACATTGCAGTATAAGGGAGAAAGAATTACAAAGACAAACATATACATTTGTAACTTTCAGTACATATTTAATAAATTCAAAAACCTTTTTTCTAACAGTTAGCATGATATTCAGACTATCCTTTGTGCTCCAATATTCCAATACAGTTGCAGGATAGCCAAGATGAAGAAATATGAAGTATGAAACTTCTCATCTCAAAGGAAACAGGGAGTCATAAATATATATGTATCTTGCCTTTTTGTATATGGACTATGTTATATAATGTTGAAGAACGCCAGCAAAGAAGAATATGTTACACTTAACATAAACTGATATGAAACGATTTTGAAATAAAATGCATAGTAACAATGACAAAGGACTTCTTTTCTTTTACACATCCAACCCTGTTTTGGCAGTGAGCCTATTGGCTGGCATAAAATGCAAACACAAGTCTGACTGCGAGGTGATTGGCCAGAGTGAAGGAGATTCAGTTCATTTACATAAATAATCAGAGGAAATTTCAAAATGCTTTAGACTTTTAGAGTGATGTACTGTGCAACTGACTCAATTCTGTTTGTGTAAAATAAGAGTAAAATTTCATGGCTCGTGCTACATTTTGTAGTGACACATAATTCTGTAGTGACGTTTTTCACCTAGGAATGTCCAGCTTGGGTTTTGTTCCAACTGTTACACATTCAGATACGCAATACTGTATGTCTCTACCCCTACAGAAGTCATTAAGTACACAACCACCACACAAATGGTACAGGCTGAAGTAGGATCATATACATGGAGGTTTCCAAAATAATGCACTTGTCATAGTAAACCTCGAAGGGGGAGAAGGATGCAATGGGGTGGAGGATATAAACCACCATAGTCTGAATTCTATATATCAGTGACATCAAACACAATCATTTCATGGGTGGTAAAAGGAATTATTTTTGCAAGAATGTCTTTGTGTACTTAGGAATTATAAAACATTCTTTCATCCCCTCATATTTGTCTCCATCTATATTGTTCCTTGGGTTTACACTGACAAGTGCATGAAGCTACATGTATAACAAGGAGCATTATGAAGAATTGCAAGAAGTGTACAATGCAGTTATAGTACAAATATATACAGAAATTCAACCAATACCAATACTAATCAACTTAGTTGGGGACCATTCCAATCGTACCTTAAAAACCTTACAGTAATCGATGCAGAGGTCATTTCATGAGAAGCTAGCAATTCTGCCAATGCAACAAATGTGTTCTACTTGTAATTCCCTGGTACAAATAAAATTTCGCTTTTAAACTACAAAAATTTGGATGAAATGGTCCCCAACAGATATGTAGAACCTGGCACAAAATAAACAAAAGAAAAACAACAACAACAAAAGACCAACTATATTTCTGCAACATATGATGTGGGGAATCTAATTAAAATGTCTCCATTTGTTTTATCTTCACACCCAGTAGGCACTTCTTGTCTATGTGAACAAATATACAAAAGATATCTACACTTCTCAGCAACAATAATGTTTGTAAGTTGAGCTCCTGAAGGGAGGGGGAAAAGCCACAGAGAGGAACACTGATGGTTCTCTTTGGAATAATGCATCTGTCAATATAACCCCAGAAAGGTAAGGGGATATTGGGCTTTAGACTCCAAGCAGCAAGAAAGGTTAGAGCTGAAAATAATGCCATCATGGCATTTTTACTGCTCTCATTAGATACAAAATGTACCAGGATTTTCGTTGATAGATACACTATATATATCCAACACCAATGGTTTAACGATAAACAAAATAAACCCACCACCATGTTAGAAATACATGTATTGTCAAATTATACACAACTTTGTATGGTAAAATTAATTCAACCATATTGAGCCTTCTTTGCTTCTTACTCATCCTGAGAGAATGCTAAGACATAGGATTAGCCTTTATAAGATAAGGACTAAACAATACATGCCACAGAGGAAGGTAAGGCATAGAATACTGTGTAAAGGTACTGTCAGGCCCTGGTGGTGTGTTGTGATATATATACTGATATACCCATCCAAGGTATTTTAGCACTTTCAGGTGAAAAACAAATGATACTGACAACAGATTCAAAAGGGTCTGCCTATCTACATGTACATGCAGTCAAATTCTAAGTGCAGTGTCTGGGTGCTTCAATATGCTGTGCAGTGCTGGTGCTTTGAAACTGTGCATAAAGCCTACTGTGGCAATCTGGGTTTGGAATGTTAAGCACTCTGTTCACATCAGTGTTCCTCTTTGTGGCTGATACAACATTGAACTTCAGTCCCTGTCTCTATCGCTAAGGGAGCATCTAAGAACTTCAGACAAATTTGTCAGAACAGGCCGCAACTCTTGACTTATATTGCTTCCTTTTGTTACTTTCAAAATTATATTTTTCTTACACTTGAGACTTCTTGGCTCTCAGAACTGATTCTGTTGACAAATGTGGCTGAAGTTTTGAGACTGGCTCCAGGTGTCTACACTACAGGTGGGTGTCACACAGCAGACGTCTGTTTAGTCTTTTGTCCGGCACAGTTAAGCAGTGAATGCACTGTAACCCCCACCCGTGCCAGGCCCTTTTCCTCTAAGATGTCGTGTGGGAGGCATAGCTGATCCTGACGTACACAAACATAAAGAGAAACATAAATGAGAAGTAGAAGAGGAGGAACCCAATCAGTTCGCAAGAGGAACGGACAGGAAACAGCGGGAGTCTTTGCGACCAGTGAGGGGTGTCAAGAGCAGGTGCTGACGACGACGGAAGGAAATCTACCAGAGCCCGCACCGTTATTCCCACATAGGAAAGGTTGCGCTGTGCCAGTATGTCCTCATCATGACAAAGCATGTCCTACATGGAAACAGGCACACAGAAACAAACCAACTCTGGAGACTTTAATTCATCAAGGGAGGTGTTAATGTCATTACTGCACAGGCCATGCTCATTGGTTAAAAGGCTGGATCATGCAGAATGAGATTAATAATTGACATGAGCTAGGAAGCATGCTTGTATTGTACGTACCCGACTGAATTAAACTTTCCAATTTTGAGAATTTGTTTGGTAGCTGAGAGGTACCACAGGAGAGTCAATGTCACATTAATAAGGCACAGGGTATTCTTTAATTACTCAATTGTTAATGACACTCAATATTTCTGATTACAAAAGAGATCCTTTGGAGAATTCAGTAATCATATCTTTAGTTAAAGATATGATAAAGACTATCAAAACAAAACTACATCAATTTTCCATACATGCATGAGGCAAAATGTGTCTTGACACAGCAAGCCTGAAATTTAAACTACATATTAACAATTTCTGTCTCACCTAGATGTATCTTTCCATTAAACATGACAGAGTATAAATGCTCCACTTGGAAAATAATTTGGCTCTTTATAAATCAAAGCATGGATATTACTTGGATTATTACAAATCCCCAATAACTGATCGCTTGTGAAAATTAGTCTGTGAAACGTGCATTTAATTCCTTTAATGCTCTAATCTACATATGGATCTGTCAATGGGATTTTCATGATTGTTTACCTTTATTACTTCAAAAGAAAGAAACAACCCTGTGCCTTTGCAGTGACATGACTTATTTGATTGAAAGAGAGTGTTAAAACATAGAAAGACTATGATATATAATTCCAAAGGATTTATATAAACCTACAGTTCCATATCTTACTTAAGACGTGCACATGCGTATATAATCCATACAAAGTCACCACATTAGTCCTACAGCAGCTTGCACTTTATTAGACTTGTGAGTTGAAAAGAAATCAGTCACCTGATGATAACCGAGGGCGAACTGAGAGAAGACAGACTTGTAACACAGGAAGACAGACACAAGGAACAGAAGAAAAAAACATACATCTCGAGAATGAAACATACGAAACACAGAAAATGGAATAAAAAGCTCTCACCGTATATATTGTATAATAACCTTTTAGTTTTCTTCATTGGTTTGTTTCGTAGATGAACATATTTTGTGTATAAGAACTTTTGACTGTTTCCATCAGAATAGCTTAAAATGATACTGTGTTAAGTTCCATGTGCCTTTCAAAGTCATAGCTACATGTACCAGATTGAATAATTGGAATTACCTATACAAGGTCACAGTAAAATCAGAGCTTTTTCAATCAATCAATAGAGAAGAGGCTATGTTTTGTATCCATTCCTAGAGCTTGAGTGTAAACTTGAAAGCACTATGTGACGTACTGATTCCCCCCAAGAGAGCCCCAACAAGTCACTAAGAAAATCAGCTCTATCTGCTCACCGAGTATGAGAAACTTCTGACATTTTCTTCTCTAATTTCACTGGAGTTGGCACTTCTGGAAAAATGGCTACAGGGAAACATCATTGATGAAGGACTTCCTATGGCCAAATAAAAACTTCTATCACTGTGCAGCTACTAATTGTGATGTACACATTCTCCCCATGAGAGCCTCAAATGTCAAGTCACTAAGAAAATCAGCTCTACATGCTCACTGAGTATGAGAAACTTCTGACATTTTCTACTCTAATTTTGCTTGAGATGGCACTTCTGGAAAAAGGGCTACAGGGAAACATTGATTTTTGTTTGGACATGGTCCAACCAGTCCAATCTCTGCCATCTACTGTATGATCATCCTGTTATAAGGGACATTAACAATGTCTGTTGCTCATAATTGTCATAAGGGAGAGCCAGAATAGAGTTAAGGGGGAAGAGCGACTGATATTATGACACAAACTTCTAGAAGAATGAAATACTTTTGCAATTGCGGTGGATTATATCTTTCTTGTTACTTTATCGACTGCATTGATTTCATTTTGAACTAAGTGGGAGGTAGTGGTTTCCTATCATCCTGATAAATGATCTGCAAGACTTGATATGATATGAATCTCAAAGGACTTAGAAGAAAATTTAATCTTTGAGTACTACACCAGATAAGAAAATGCTATCAATTTCTTTCAAATGAATGGTACAAAAAGAGAGAAGAGGGATAAGAAAAGGCAAATAAATATCAGAGAAAACCTTAAAACAAAACAAGATTTTTTTTAGACAAACAAGACATTCATAATTAAGACATTTTGAACAAATTTTCCACACATTTCATAGGACGTAAAGATGCAACGATGTATGTTTGATGTGAAAAGTTCAATAAACACCAAACAAAATGGCACATCAATGACTCAAGGCATGATTCCAAGTAAATGGAATAACTGATACCAAATGCTCGGCGCTAACCAAAACATGACAGAAAAAAATAAAATAAAATATCAAAGAAGAATAAGATATCCTCACAGACACACACAGACAAGACTGCCAATAATTCACTTTGAACCACATTTGTAAAAGGAGGCTCAACAGTACCAGGGGGAAAATAAAGTACAGAATAAATGGCAAATAAAAAAAGCATGTTCAAACAACGGCCCATTGCAATAAAACAAATCTGCCACAAGCAAACGGCAAGTAATTAATTTTAAACAACACATAGGAATGACATTTTCATACAGTATGAATCTTGTGCGTAACCTTGTACATTGCAGATGATAGCAAAACAAAGAACACATGCTACAATACAAGAAGAAAGGAAGATATACTTACATTAGGGACGCCTATCCTCCTACACGCTTCTAAGAAGTTCTCAACATTCCTTCTGCACTTGGCAAGGGACAACTTGGGCTGGAAAGTTTAGACACGAAAAAATATTTCAAAATGATAACCTGAATAGTAAAAAGTCACAATATTAGCAACGAGTGGTGTTTTCACCGTGCGTTGAAAATATTAAAGTCCCAAGAATTTTGATGAAGTTATATTTTGCAACACTTTTATGTATAGCTTCTTTAATAAGACAAACTTATGACTAAAAATTCTATGTATGCCTCCCTCCCCAAAAGAGCTTCATTTTTAGAACGGTACCGCAATTGCAATCAAAGGCAAAATGTTTGAAACCTCTTCAGGGCTTGAAATACTGGGTGCATGTGCACCTTAGTGCACCCAAATTTAGAGCTGTGCACCCAATTTTTTTCTGTGGGTGCACCAGTTCACCCAAATATTTTCTTAGGTTTAACATAATATGTAATGTAATGTTAAATGTATAGTAGTTACAGCATATTCTTAACATCTAATTGCCAGCAAAAATTATACAATCATTGTTACTTATAGTTTTTGCTGACATTCTAGTTTTTATCTAAATATATGGTGCACCTAAAATATTTTTCTTTTGCACCCAATTTTCTAGGTTGGGTGCACAAGCGCAGCTATTCCCAAAAATGAATTTTGAAGATTGATCTTGTTTTAGTACCAATATGCCACCTACGGCTGGTGAAATTTCCAAACCTCCTTGGCCGATAAACGGGCCCCCATTTTCTGATTTTATCAGATCCAGTAATTCCGCCCAGACCCATGCGGGGTGATGTTGCAGTGAACTGTACCATATTGCACCAGTGTGATTAATGTGACGACATTTGCATGCAGCACGAGATCGATGACACAGGGAATATCTATAGTTTCACACCTTTAAGCGATACGAATCCCCCGTGGTGCCTTAAGTACCGTCTGTACTTCAGACATTCATCTACTAACCTTCTTAATAACAACCTTAAGACATATATTGACATGTTGGTTTTCCTTTATCTAGATCATCATTTCTTCCTTCATTTCTATCCCTTTGCTGTATCATTTTTCCTCTTCATATCAAAGCATCAAGAGTGAGATGATTGCTTGATCAGATAGGGAAACTGCGACGGCAAACGGCGATTTTTCAATCCAGTAACCTGGACTTACCACAGCGGGAGAAGGCACGTGGATGCTTGATATGGAACGCGGTCGAACGTGATTGGCCAGATGACACAGCACCACTCCGTCCATCAGGGCAGTGCCCAGGTTGTCTGGCAGCGAAACTTTTAACCTGCTCTCGATATTCTGTTGAAAAGAAATGGAATCATACTCAGTCCTCGAAATTAACTTTTCTTCCTATTGTCCCAGCACTGTCCCAAAAATAAATTTCAATTGTCCCAAAGTGAGGATGAACTGTCCCATCCTGTTTTTCGGGAAGTACAAGTATTGTATGACTTTAACTTGAAGTCAACTTTATTTTGCTTACGTTCTGACTTCCAGGTGCACTATAATTGCAGTGTAGATGGTAGGAAATTCGGGGGGACTTTTTTGGATCCTAAAGCCGGGACGTGTGCTTGATAAACAAAAGAAGGGCTGACATTCTTATGTTCATTATTTTTTCTATTGTCCCAAAAATGTCCCAAAGTGTTATTTTAGTAGTCTCTGCCTACATTTTAGTTTTCAGTGGCCATCGGACCACCTTTAATTTTGAGCCCTGCAAACTGTGTGTTGTTACCGCTTGGGACGCCTTGAAGCTTGTATGTACAGTACTTCAACCTTCCCTTGGTTAAGATGTCAGCACCATGTACATGAAGGAGAAACTTTGTATCAGGAATAGCTGTTATTTATGTTCACATGAAAGATGATAAAAAGCCTGGAGGCAATAAACTTTAAATCACTTGTAATACATTACGTGAAATTCAGCATAATGGCTCAGGCTTATAAATTACTCTTAGGAGTGTTACAAATCCCAAGCAAGTGGGCATGCTAATCAGAATTTTTCTTGAGGAAATTACCAAAATGTGACTGAGATTTATCAAGTAATATAGTATTACCTACATTAAAAAAAAAGAAGTAATATACCTACATCAGCCACATTGCGCCTATGGCTATTTGAATAATGTAACACACATACACATGGAAGGCAGAGACAAATGTGAAATCATTAAAATACCAAAGCCCTGTGCATTGATCAACAGAGCCTTAAGACATTACATAAGAGAAAAGTCATTGATTTGTAAGTGTCTCACCCTTCTGAGTTCCTCGACTGCCTGCATTTCTTCCCTCATGATGTCCAACTTTCTTCTGATGGTGAAATTTGGATCCATGTCGTCTATGTTCTTTGGGGAAGTTAGGTTGAACGCTAGAAAAACATTTAAAACAATAAAAAAATTACTGACTCAACATGGTTACTTTGTGAATGTAAGCAAGCCCACGCTACAGAATGTATAAATATTGAGAAATGCATCACTGTTAAATCTTTTCTGCACACTACAATTTAAAAACACACCCTTGGTACATGTACCAAAAAGACACATTAAACAAGCTGTAAAATATGCTTCACTTTCAGCCAAATAAACTGAGGCTTTTACCAGGAAAAAACTTATCCTGGGATCTCCAGGATCGAACCATGAAGATTAAATTACATTGACGATGATCTGTACTTTAAACCATCCCCATTGAAACAACAATGCTAACATTACTTCAACCAAATCACTCTTACACACAAGATTAATGTGCTCTAGAATATAAAGCAGATATTGATTAGTTGAAAGCACCATCAATATCTCACCTACATGTATGTACAGAGACCAATTTGCTACTAATGGTTTTTCGGGGACTCATATTTGCAGGTAATACTTTCCACCATTACTGACGCCTGCAATTCTCAGGACTCAGCAATGGAAAGATTTCAAATTCTGATTACTTAATGTAATGCATTATTATGTAATAATAACGTAGCAATTTTCAGGTGTTATTTTCTATCCTATATGATGTTTGAGTCTTACCGGAAAGCTTGATGAGGCTTTTACAATTGTAAATACAGTCATTTGATCATTTACATTTCAAATACTGTGTGTATTGTATTTTGGGGTCTTACAACATTTTTATAGCGTCACAAGTTGATTTAGCTACCTGCACAAAATTATCTGTGGATAGAGTCAACACAAATTATCGTCTAATAAGTTAATGTTTGCCTCATTTTTCATATACACACACATTAATTATGATTGGTTATCTTTACTACGCAGACATGTTACATAAAGTAAGTAATGCTCACCTGATCTGGGTTTCAACGAAGGCATGGTGAAACTGTTATATGAGTTGGTCGGAGTCCTTTCTGGATCCTGAAAGAAAACAGGGTACATTAAACACAGAAATATGACTTTATGATTTTATGCCCGAGTTATGCTTAACCCAAATTTGTGAATTTCTAAAGTCAAAGAAAACAAACATTCTGCTGTAGATGCTGTAATTTTGGTTGACTGTTGTCGCTGATTGCTTCATGCATTTTTATGTGAATAAACAAATAACTTCTGGCACTTCCACAACAAACAAACAAAACAACAAGTTGCACCTTGAATTAGATATGAAGTAGAAACACAAGAAAAACTTGCACACAGGAATTTTTTAATAACAGTGAAATTAGTGAAGTTCAAAGAAAAATTCCTTGACATGAATGATGCTAACCTTGCTATACCTACAGAAAGCTGACTGAATTACTACAGGATATTAATTTTTCAGTTGGGCTTATCCAAACATCCGCCTCACGAATTTTAAATCATCCTTTAGGATAAACAGCAAGCAACATCAATTTGTCTGGATCATGTTACCACTCTCTTTCCTAAAGCTCTAAATCTGAAAAGTTCCTTTCAAAGTTACCTCATCAGAAAGACTGTCATCGTCTCTGCCAATATTAGAGCCTGATGTTCGCTGTGAAGATACAGAATGAAGTGAAAGGTAGAGCGAGGCTCATTTTTCTACTTGGTTCACAGATTTTCCTGTCTTAAATCAAATCTAAAGCAATTAACATGCTCTCACAATCAGTTGAACAGTAAAAAATCATCATGCTGAAAACCTGTGAACCAAGCAACTAAATGGAATAAGTACTTTTAGCATATTATAACAGGTATACAAGGTAGCAAATTGTTAGATGGAGTAAGTATCAAGGTTCTTTGTACATGACCAATAACAATATTTGGGTAGTCCTTCTTCCACCTTTCTTGGGACAATATGGTTATTGGTTGAATGTGTACAAAGAGCCTTACAGTTAATGTGATTAACAAGTCTCATGAACTGTTCATGGCTGTTACATGTAGGTGGAGTATTACAACAATTTGAAAAAGTAAAAGAAAATCCGTAAAAGTAAAATTATACAAAACAGCAAAACATGGTGAGGACATCGTTAACTAAAGTACCTTGACGAAGTTTAAGACTGCGTCTTTCTGTAACTGTTTGGTTCTCTGTCTTTCCTCCTCGTAGCGCCGCCTGGCCAGCTGGGCCTCGTGTCTTGTTCTGGCCGCCAGCGCCTCTTGTCGCAAACGGAATTCATCAGAAGGATCCTGGGGGTAAACAAGAACAGCCTTTTCAACATTTCTTAAGCTTGAAATCTATAAGCCTTTCTATGTAAGAAACGTGGGTATGTGTGCTGTTCTACCTTTGTTGTCCTTTCCTTTTCTATTCTACATGTACATGTAGTGCAGCTCTAAACAGTCATACATTGTACATTGATGTATAACTTTGCTAATGAAGCAGATACTACAGCAACAAAATGTTGGTAGTGTACAAAATGTATTTCAGTGCAAACTTGAACAAGACATTCACTTCTTCATCACAAGTGCATAGAGGACTCCAGGGAGAAAAGTGTAAAATTAATTGTTACACTAATGGAGATCCAAATAAATAAAACAAACAAACAGAGAGAATGCAAACCTGGTTTCTAGCAGCAGGACTGACGTGAGGACTTGTCCCCGGACTGAGCCCTGGACTACTGTAGGGGCTTCTCATGGGGCTGGGCTGGTCACTGTTGGGTCCACTAGAACAACACCAAACAACTGTGTCACTAACAGGCTGGTTCACGGGCCAGATATAATACAAAGTGCAGCACGCCACTCTCTAATCAACATACAGTACAACCTTCGCTATCCTAGTTTTGTTTTTGAAAACTTCTTGATACAATGTAAGTTCTGAAAACTGCCTTTTGCAGTATAATTTGAAACTTACTTTTCTATAAATGTTTAGTCTTTTCCACTTTAGACTTAGATTTAAAAAATCAATCTAAAAGTATCAATTTTCGGATAGCTGATAAAAATCAAACTGAAATCACCAATTTCTGAATTGCTGATAAAATCAAACTAAAATATTGAATTTTTGGATTGCTGATAAAAATCAATCTAAAGTCATCAATTTTTGGTTAACTCATAAAACTCGGATCTAAAATCGTTAACTTTTGATTAACTGATAAAAATCAATCTGAAATCAATCAATCAATTTTTGGATAGCTGAGGTCATACTGTGATTGGTGCACTCTGATCATCTGATTCTTCTGTGACCTATGACCTACGACCTACGGCACACGCAGTGTTGCACGCGTCTAAAACTCTACGCCAGAGAACCAGGCGGCCCACTCACTTGCTGTCCCATCTACCGGTATTCCCTTCAGCGCGGAGGTCAAGGTTTAAGGAGTTTCTATCGCGGTCATGTCTAAAGCTGGAAGATGACAACCTCCAACTGAAAGCAGCAAGAGGAATGAATGATGAAGACACAAGACAAAAGACTTGGAAGATCCCTTAGAAACAGTAAGACATGTGAATTCTGTTGACAGAAAATGTGTTAGCTTCATGCTTAAGAGTGACAATAGTTTAGAATGAATTGTACTGGCACCAGCCTACCACCAAGAAGAGCATGAGATGTAAAAATTTATGAAGAATGATAACAAATAAAGCAGACTTCTGAATATGGTAAGCCCTTAAGATAATCCTTGGTAAATATAAATGACTTATGCTGACTTTCAGAAAGTTGTATCATCAATTGCTAACAATACAAAATTGCATTATACAGGTGGCATAAAGCATTACACGATGTTGTGCACAATTCAGTACTTAAATGTCATAAGTGCAGTAAGACAGATAATGACACAACTATAATGAAAACAGCAACTGTACTTGTAAGCAATAGTATGGTATACAAATGCAATGAAAACAGTAACCTGAAGAGAACACTGCCAGTCAACATTTTAAGACAAAAACCTGAAACAGTTACACACAAAGACACACAAATATGGAAATGATATGGATAAAACAAAACACCAACAAAGGTGGGGCACTGGTGGGATATCACATGGTGAGACTTACTTGGTATCTGGTCGGGGTCTTCTATAGGATTCGTTAAATGAAGCAGAAGAGAGAGGAGCCGACCTGGACAGAGAGGAAGTCACCAGGGTTATACCTGTACACCACCACCACAACAGATATACATGACGTACCACCCAGGTTATACCTGTATACCACCACCACAACTACTGATATCTGACAAGGCTTGAACCTAACCTGTTTCAGTACTTTAAGTGTAATAACATTGGCTGAAAATGTTTGAAAAAATTGCATGTCCAAAATGATGAGATGAATCTGATTATTTCCTTATGACATCTACATTTCTAGGAAGACTGTAAACACAAAATAGTGACCTATAGCTTTTATTGCTGCTGCTATCTTACAATGATACAGTATAAATTAGGTTCGTGCCTTGTGTATTGTCAATGTCCCTTAGTTGTAACTATAACCATATTTAAACAGATTTAGAACATGCTTTGGATTATCAAAGAGTGACAGCAGTAGTGTGGTTGAAACAATACACATGATAGTTGTGAAGATTGGAGCTAGAACATTTTGGTGAAAGATCTATGTAACAGCTCCCTCTTTCAATAATCAGCAATACTGCAGCACAACAGGCCCAGCATACTATTTAGGCAACAAACAACAAGTTGGATGTTTGAAGAAAACTATGTTTGTGCATGCTTTCTGTTTATCCATGCTGTAAAACTATGTTTGTGCATACTTTCCATTTATCCATGCTGTAAATGACTGGACATAGATGCCATTACTTATGAAAAAAAGTGTGGTTACATTATATACAACATGCAGTCCATGCAGTGTCATGCTATAAGTGTTTTCCAGTGAGTTGTTAGTTATAATAAGTGAAGTTGTACAACTGCAAGGCTGCATGAGGACTGTGCCCCTCTCCCCACCTTTCCCTGGTCTGACCAGAACTAGTAGTAGCAGTTTCGCTCCACCTTCTGTTCTGAGCTCTCTTGGTCCTCAGCACCTTCTCCTGTTCTCTGTGGACCACCTGTGCTGCTCTCCTCCTCTCCTCTTTCTCTCTCTCTTCATCTTCTTCTTCTCCTCCTCCTTCCAAAACCTAACAAATGCCATTAAGCTTAGAATGAATGAATGAAAGAACTTTATTGCTTGGCAATTGTACAGGGTACTGCAATATATATCAACAACTATTAAACAATAATACTAGTACTACTAGTCTACATGTAGCTTACATTTGTAACTACAAAATATTGTTGATTACGGGATATATAAATAACCTTATCTTCATGTATGGATGATTTGGAATCATGTTTGGAAGAGGTACATAGTGTACAAAGATATTGACAAGAAAGGTGGATACAAAATGAGTATTGCATAACAGAATGAATTGTTGAAAAAGAAATATACATATAAAATACCATATGACTTCTAATTTTACAGACTGAACTGCTATTTGACAACTGAATTGCACCACTTCTTGGATCTAGGACTACCAGACTGGTTGTCTAAATCTCATATACACATACCACATCTGGAGCCTTTGTTTTTGCCGCCACTGTGTGTATCTCTTCTCCCTGGCCATTTGGCACTGGCAAGTTTCTCGATTCAAAGTCTCTTATTGCTGTGGAATAACTCCCTTCCCTTCTCTCTAGCGTTTGGTCCCTGTATTCCTCCAATTTCGAACCTAGTCCTCCCGTTTCGGCCAGATATCTTTCCCGTTCTTCCTGGATCTTCTTGCCGTAGTACGCCTCTGCGCGTTGGTGGCGCTGTTCTTTGGTACGGTGTGCGACCTGTTCTAGCAGCTTGTCTTCGTCTTCTAGTACTTCACTCTGAGAAAATAGGAGGGGAAAATTACTTGTAGGTTAAAAGCAATGTCATAAATGTTTACTAGCCAAAAAAACTACTGCTCTGTTTATTTTGACTCAAACACAATCTTATGTATGGTGACCATCCTCTCCAATTCTGTCCTGCCACTTGCTACATAATGTAACCCAGCACTATCATGGTGACAGCCACCTGTCCAGATTGAACTTATTCATTTGGAAGGGAAGAAGAGGAACAGGAAGAAAAAATAGAGCAAAAACAATATGTTTTAATTCTGTGAAGGTAAACACAACTATGATTGACTTAGTAACATTAGCTAAGCACTTTAATTTTCCATACAGTAACTATAATACATACAAATATATAAAGGACTCCGACAGATATCTTTAGTTAGGTTACCTCTGGTGTAGACCATCTCTTGTTACTGGTGTCAGAAGCTGTGTTGTACCCTGAGTCCATGACCACACTACCCTGGGACACTGCACTGGGTAGGCCCATCCGTACATGGGGGCTCCCCTCACCATTCAAACTGTGGAAAAATGGTGCAAACATCAATGTTCAGTGTACATTGTAAGTATTCTTTAAAGCTAAAACATCCGATCCGCTACCTTTTGTCAGTGACCAGAGTCACTGACGAAAGGTAGTGGATGCTACCTGAAACTTGACCGCTTGGTATACCGTAACTTAAATTTGTTTCGTGGTCTTTTCTCAGCTGCATAATTAGGTACTTAATACTTGGTTCTTCCACTAATTTGTTTGTTGAATGTACTTGTTGTTTATCACACAAAGTTTGGACATTTTTCTTCCTTTTGGATCAGGAAATATCTTGCCAATACAGCTGACTCATGAACTCGTGAATGCGCAATTTGCCAACTTGGCAGGCTAACAGACATTTTGCCCGCTTAATTTCATGCCCGTATTTAGAGTTTTGTGCATCACCTCTCGTTGCAGGGCTTGCTGTCCAGGATCTGTTCCATGACGTCCCGTTTCCTGTCCTCTCTGTGTGCCTCCTGACACAGCCACTTCAGGATGTGCACACGTCCTCTGGTACAGACCTGCAACGTGGGTGGGGAATGGTTCAACATTAATAACACACGTCAACAATCATTACAGTACTGTACAACAATGTACATGCAAAAACTTTTGCAGTAGTTTTATATATTATGCACCACCTAATCCCTCCTACAGCAAAATGTAACCAAGACATTTACATAAAAAACAGCATGCCAAAAGTTACACTTCTTCTAATAAAGTTGTATATTCAACTTGTGTTAGAATTTTATATGATTCATATTTATATGATTCATTGTCTTTTATCTTTTTGTCTTGAAATTTTGCCAGAATTCCCTGCCAAATATTTTTTAATGGACAAGCAACAAGCAATAATCCTAATGCTGCATTGGGTTATCATATGTGAACCCTGTCATACATGTACTTCATGAAAAACGATAAGATAGAAATAATTCATGGAGCTTGAATATTTCTTGAAATCATACTTTGCATGACATTGTGCACAATTAATAAGACTTATTAATAGTTCCAATGTATACACATATAGTGCTACAGTGTTAACGTTTTCAGAACCCTTTGAACAAGCCCACAATTGTACATGTATCAAATTTCAAGCCTCAAACTCCTTTTTTAGCCAAGCTAACTCCAGGGGTTGTCACAAAATTCCACAGCTGTCCTCACTAAGCCATCACATAATCCATTTAAATCTACATCCATTCTGATGACATCATATGTTTTCAGTCCATTTGAAAACCAAAACAACATTGCTAACCTTTAACAGCCTGACAAAAATACTTTATTGCCACAACAAAAGTACAGGGTCTTGCGTAAAATATTCAACAGTTCTATTTATAGAAATAGACACAAATACAGAAACTGTACATTTAACAATGTCTGCAATCTGAAGATTTTCAAGATTGCAGAAGAAAAATTTGTGCAATCTGCAATTTTGCAGAAAGAAAAAATTGGCTACGGATTCAATAGCTTTCAATTTAGCAAACTAGTGGCGAAAAAGCCTGCGCCATTTGTTTGCTAAATTGGCTAAACAAATCCAGAAGTGAGAAGTGAGAACCTTACCTGTGCAGGTGGTGACATGAGTGGGTTGTTGTCCAGTATAAACTCACACAGAGTCTGTAGATGTCTGTAGCAGGCAGGCAGGGACGTCACCTTGTTACAGGAGATGTCCAGCCGGGTTATTCTCAACTGACACAGCTCTGAGGAAACACAGAGAACCAAATCAATTGTAGGTGATAATAATAACCAAAAAAATTAGGTGCATCAAATATATTTTGGGTGCACAACATAAAACTTAAGTAAAATATTAGCAATGTCAAATTACCAACCTTACTGTGAACTTAACACTGACTTCAGATTTCAAACAAGGTTTTTTTATAATTTTTTTTGACAAACCATTGTTGGAAGTACAGTGTATTGTACTTTTACTGTATGTGACTTACAAAAATCTGTAGGTGCACCAGTGCACCCACAGTCAAAAATTAGGTGCAGCAGCACAGCTCCAATTTTAGGTGCACAAAGGTGCATATGCACCCACAATTTCGACCCCTGAAACAGGTGGGACATGTTAATACACCCTGCTGAAATCGATGCCATGCACCTTGGCTTTGGCTGTACAGTAAGGTAAACAAATCTCCATTAGTTTGCCACAGCTGTCAATGCTGGCTTCCGCCAAAACCGCTGACTTTGCAGGGGGACCAAAAAAAGCTATACATTCATGAACTCTTCTTACGAATTTGCTTGGCCTTTGCCTGATGAATAAGTGATTAAATTTTGGAGAGAAAAAACTACAAGACATGTGACAGAACATGTACATGTGCTGCTTGGATGAATAATGACTTGACTATGTTGATCTAAGTAACTTTATACCCTTGTTGATTTAGCTTGAGTGTGATGTTCAATTTTTTCCCCTTAACTCTTCTGGACACTGCAACATAATAATTTTTCCCTTAACTTTTCTGAAGATTGTGACATTTCAATTTTTATTTCACTTTTCTAGACACTGGGACATTTCAATTTATTTCCTAAGTTTTCATAACCAAAAATTACAATTGAATTATTGTCCCCACCTTCTGGTAAGGTCTGTAAGTGGTTTCTCCTGATGTTGAGTTCTCGTAAATTTTCCATCTCTCCAATCTGTAAGGGTAGTGTGCTGATCTCATTACAGCTCACATCCTGGTAAAAAAATACAGAAAAGTTCAAAATCAACTTTTATACGGTATGGCGTACAATTCAAACTCAAGAGACTTAATAATGCAACTATTGTAGAAAACAAAGTATTAAGTAAACTCAATTCTATCAGCTATACATACAAATACTACCTAGGAAAACAATTTTCAGTCACTCAATAGTTCAATATTTTCAAGACAGACTACCTTTTAACTACATTTTCCCAAACATATAAAACCTGACATTAGCATACTGCTTACTTAAGCTATTCAACACATTAATTTCATCATTTGTCAACCTCACAGCACCAATTATATCTTAAATCAAATCTTCAAAGCAGCCTTTCAGATAATAATGTTTCCTTTTCAACCTTCGTATGGATAAAAATCTTGCTCAGTCATCCAAAGGCAGAAGATAATAGAATTATAGCACCAAAGTAACTTACCAAGTTCATGAGCTTTTTCAACTTGCCGATGTCTTCAGGCAGAGAGACCAGTTTGTTGTTGCTGACGACTAAGACTTGTAGTGGGAGGTAACATAGGGGGATGGGCAGGGTTGTCAACTGGTTCCGACTGAAATAGACAAGAAAAAAAAAATCAATACATCAAGACCAGCCAGAGCTCTAGCCAGCTCAAAATTTGTTCCCGTCAGCCAAGATTCAAGATCGGAGCTGGGGGAAGAGTGCTCACAATCTAGGAGGGGTCCAAGCCTTTAAACATGCAATTTCCCACATTTTGAGGCAAATCATGGGATTGAAAGTGATTATTGGTGGTTCTTTGGATGTTAACCCAAAATTTTTGACATTTTGTCTTTTGAGGTTGACAGATTGGTTTCAAAAAAATTTTGTCACACATCACAATGTTTCTAGTACAATTGACGGAAAACTGGTGCTGGCTGAAGCTAGCCCTGCAAAGGACTCCTCAAATAAAAGTCAAAACTTATTAAAACAGTTGCTTCGCCCTAATCATTCTGTAACCCTTCTTTGAACTTTTGTGGTAACTTTATAACTTGAACTTTTCATGAACCTTGTCTAGAAAATGGTTGACTGGACTGTATCTTACACCCCTGGTTTACCTTTGTTGACAGTCCTCTATTGCAGGAAGGTCCTAACTTTCAAACATATTCAGCTAATGACAACTTACACAGTTCAGCTGTAGCAAATTAAATTTTTCTGATCTTTCTAGAATGCTTACTCAGTCCTATAGTATTTCTAATACATTTAAGTTGCTTTTCAAACCTTAAAAAATACAAATCCAGAGACAGTTCATATTAAGACATTAGGTTCCTTTCATCCTGTTTTATTCTAGTTTTGCAGAATCATTGCTTATACAGCCTGTAACATTATTGTGTTTGGCTTTTCTTATAGTTCATTGTGTAAGGAAATCAATTGCAAGTAGTCTGAGACTTTTGAGTAGATCATATTTTGGTCCTGCTAGTGCTAAAATTTCAAAGAATTCTCTCTCTATATATATAATTGCAGGACCAAGAACGTGTGTTAAATTTGTTGATGCTTGTTTTTCCGTAAAGTCTGTGGGTCAAAGTGCACACCGTAGTATGCCATGTTGACGTCTAAAATCCCTGGCAAAACAGCACCTGTGCACCATCCAGGTACACAATAGCCTTTGTGACCACAGGCAGTGAGACTAAGAGCTTCAGTCATTCTGTACTTTACAACAGTAAAACCTTTCCGGGCTTTTACAATACAATATGCTTTGGGGGAATGAATCAACTTGACAAATGTTTACAGGCTTGACCTTGTACGTAAACGTAACGCAAACAGGCGAGTTTGGACGATAAGGACTGGTCAGTGTTTGTTCAAACTAGGTGGAACACTGATGCAAGTTTGTATGCATTTTAGAGCAACTGGTAAATGTTAATATTTGCTTTCCATGCCCTCTCTCTCTATGGGACAGAACAAACTTTGGTAAGGACTCACTGGTTGAAGCACTTGACCCAAATAAAGAACTGACTTGTTCTCTACCCACGTACAGTACACATCATGACATCTTAATATGCATCTGTTTGAACAGCATCTTTACATTTTGAAGTAGACTGAGGTTCGTGGAATACAGAAGTCTTAAAGTTAAACCAAAGGGTGGTAGGGCAAGAACTGTAGAGGTAATCATTCATAGGAAAATGACAGAGGAAAGGGAAAAATCATAAGGTGCAGATTTCAAATAATAAGAATTGAAAATGCCATTTTTTGGAGCCACTGACCATGGAGTTTGAAAATAGAATAACCTTTTTACACACAACACAAATACACATGTACATGTACGTATACAAAACTTCACCAAAATTTTGAACAGTATGTAGATCTTGTATTAACTATAAGTATATTAATAATTCTCCATTAAGTTTAATCTTCTAAGAATGCGGAAAGTCCAAATCCCTTACCTGAGGTTTAGCCATGTCAAACATTGTAAGTTGACCGCCATGTCAGGCACTGCTTTGATGTTATTGTTATAAAGGTCTACATTCTCCAGGGAGGTGTAGTCACAAACTTCTAACGGCCACTCCTGGAACCGGTTTTTGGACAGGTCTGAAACAAAGAGAATAAAAAATCATTCATGTGTAACTAGATCAGCACTTTTATAATCAGAATATATGTTGTATCACTATGTATAATATAACTAACCTATTATAAGAACCTAAAAATCACAATTCATTTAATATTTTTCTTCAGACCCCCTTTCCACTAAACAATGATTGCTGAAAGACCAAAATTGAAGCATTTTATAATTGGCATATAAATATAATGGTTATTATTATTAATACACAATATAATTATAAGAATAATTGGAAGACAATTAATGGTAAAAAAATTTGTTCCTTATCTATGAACTTTGCTGATAGATTTGTTAAATTTTTGGTTGCTCGAGCTCATTACTCTAGCGGAAAGGGACAATCAATCAAATACATGTAGCCAACATTTAATTGCAACGTGTACATCCTAATATGATGCATATTTCATTACTCGTAAATAATTAAACTGTAAGAATTGATTCTTAGCTTCTGCAACTTTGCAGGTCACAGAAAAAGGACATGGATGGGTTTAGGCAGGTAGATATCAGAAATACCTGCACAGCTCCAATTTCATCTGCAATAACCTGCATAAAATAATATGCAGGTGGTATTTTGAGCCCTGACACATTTTCCCATGCAATTCTTTTGCCTTGAAGTACTGCACAGTAGAATGTCCTGTTTACAGAGGAAACTCGTGACGGTGCGACAGGGAGAAGGATGTGGGAACCAGCATCACAAAAGGATACCTATTCAGAACTTCTTTTCTACTTCATGCTAGGGTTTCTATATGAAACAAAAGTCCAAACAAAGAGAATTCTACAAATGTTCACCTCTGGGTTAGGTATACACTTGTGGTTTCCTGTCCTGACCAGTTAAATGTTGACCCATTCCCAAAGTGTGTCTCAGAACAAAACCATTACAGGAATTTCCAGACAATCAGCACTAGGTCATCTAATGCAGCTATCAGTGCAAACCTTAGGTCCTACATGCAAATGGGAGAAGGGCATGAGAAAAGGGTCTTATGCTTTACCATATCATCAGACAAAAACAAAACAACCACTATACCTTTTGACAGGAATAAAATACGAATCAGGATATCACATTCACTCAATTTTTTTATGACCATTTATAAAAATAAAACATTTTCAGTATTCAAGGTGAAAATAAATTAAGACATGTACCTGAGAAAATTCAGGACACAAGTTTGCACAATTTTCGTTATTGCTAGTTATAGCAACATCTACAAAATTAACCCTTGCATAAGAACTTCTTATTATCCATCCTGTCAATATATGTAACCCATAATTAAAATCACACCAGGTTGCTAGGGCTACATGACCTATTAAACATGTCAGATCAGGACGTCAAGCCGGTAGTTACACAGCTTTGTGTGCGTACCAAACCTGCTGATCCCGGGGTTACAATAGTGGTCTGTTCACAAGATGTGTTTTGGTCCAGGGAGGAGATCCTTGTCACTGTTGCTATTTTGGACTGTACCTGCTAGTATTGTCTAATAGTAAAGGTGTGTGATTCTAATAATACTGTATACGTCACTCAGTCAACCTGTGTATAGTGACCACTCTAGTGCACTCTGGGACTTCTACAGAAAATGGTCACAGAAGACAGTGGCCACGATAGATTCTACGATTCTTTATGTCGATCATGAACTGGGAAAAAAACTTTGTATGAAATCTCTTCCTAAAGCAATGAAAAGAGACCTAAATTGTACTACCATAGGTAGGGAAGCTACATGACTGTTCAGACAAACATTTCTATTCAATATGCACATGTAACTTGTGGAAAGTCGGCTTTTTACATCAAGGCTTTACCAGATGGAGACCAGACCATGGCTTCTGGCCAAAGAAAAGTTGGACCCCTTCAACTGCCAAGCAATTACTCTGCCTCACTCCCAGTGTAAATTTGGCAGCAGGGGTACATGACCTTTTAGCACCTCGGCTTCATCACACACAGTACATGTAGGTACACAGTTGAGTACAGAGCACCTACTGGCTGTGGTATATGGTCAACAAGTTAAGGGTTAACCATATGTGGCTAAGTGTGCAGTACACAAAAAAAAAATTCTTACAAAATTCAAGTGCTTCAAACAAATATCTGAGCAGAAACTGACAACATGGAACCTGGTACAGTAATTCAGATGAATGAACATGCATATATGTGCATGCATGAACTTTTAAGGAAGGCCAGAATTTGTGCACAATTAACTTAAGTCTTGTCAACTTGCGCGATGTGTGTAATTGGGCACGTATCTATTGTATATTCTATTGATGATAGAATCAATTTTACATGTGCATACTTTGTATGTCTTGTACTTTTGTATATCATTTTTGTGACCTTTTTTGACAGTTTGCACCAAATTCAGTCCTATCTGTCCTGATGACTTAAGACCATTGCGTGCTCATACCTATGCCTGAGAATTTGGACTTGAAACTTGAGCGACACTGTAGCCATTTCTCTAATCCTTTCTTGGCATGTGGCGACTTATTACACAGAGGCCTGTTTTCATTTAAGAGTCCCTGGGTTCTTTCAAGTTATTACAGCAGGTCTAGTCAAAACTTCTTCCGCACCCCAGACATATACTTCCTGGTCTAGTGTTTGTAACGTTAAATCTTACAAACAGAGCAATGGGCAGTACCAAGTGTATTCTTGGGGTAGAGTTACAACTTTTCTATAGCTTAGTATTACTGACAAATTAGGAACTCATGCTTTGCCTGTTCCTGGTCAGTTATGAATACTGTGTAAATCACAAACATGTGAACATAAAGTGATTTACAGCACTGCTCTCATGTAACAAGTTTGATTGCATGGTGGCCTTTGAACTTGAACTCAAATGTGACATTTATGTGCTATAGGTTATATGTGCTCATTAGAGGAAAATCTATCATACTAGTCAAGCCAGGTGAACTGAAGAGGCTATTTCAAGCCCTATGCATGTAACAATACACCCCACAAAAAACAGACCTGTACAAAGATAGCCCTGTTCTTCAACCCACCACAATAGCTGTCCATTAATCTAGGGTGACAATGCCCATTGTCGGCCTAGCCCACTTTGACTTCACGTTTTGGTCACTTCTACTTTTTATTTTAATTTCTCATTCAGATACATTTCATTAGGTAGTCCCCAAAACACATAATCTACTTAGTGAGATAACTGTTTGCCTTTTATGTACATTGTCTCATCTAATGGCCCAGTAACTGGGGTATATCCCCATGGAGGATGACATCATCTATGTACTCTAATGACATCTGCTCGTATAATCAGATCGCCAATAATCTGGCTACGTTATTAGTTATGTTGATATAAGACAGATAAAATCATAATCCCACCGGCTAGGAAAGGTATCCTTCCTTAACTAAAAAATATCTGACTGATAACTACATTTGTAAGTTTTGTGTTACTGTTAGTGATAAACAAAAAAGAGTGTCCTCATTTGTTTTGTAAATAACAAGCTTTGTGCAGACAAAAAGCCCCATAAATTATCTCTCCATATATTTCAACCAATGGACAAAAGAAACGTAAAAAAGTCAGAATTTGTCACGTGTGACAACATTCATAAAGAACCTTGTGATAACTTCTGTGCAATTTTCATTGTGCTAATTAGCATAATATACATGTATATTATAATGCAATAAAATAGCATTCTGGGGACATAACGAACATTCTAGAAACTTGTAATTCAACAAGATTAGAAACGTCGTTAACGTAACTTGACTGGTTTGGGAGCTAATCGACTTGAGACATCACAGCCTGACGATCAATCAACCTCCCCCCAAAATAACCTCCGACATAATTAGATTTTACGACCAAGAACAATCAATTTCTTCTGTGTCAAAGGCTATCAGCGCACTCTGTGCTAAATACTTACAAAAAGACACAAACTTTACCATCATCTTCATGTAAATACAGAAAACAATATTTCCCTGAGTTAATCTGAGTCATCATCAACAAAAGAATTGATTGAAATGTTTGATCTGAATACATTAAATTTGAAATGCAAATGTAAAATTTACACAGCGACGTGATCAAATACTGTTCTTGTGTGCATTCAGCATGACTGGCTTCAGTTCACTGGTAGATTAGTCCACAGGATTCCTTTTCTACCGCAGAATCTGACTTATCAAGAGGCAAAATTCAGTTTATATTTTGTGACCTGATAGGGCTAGAGAGGGTGGGGGGAGCAACCTGCTTCCGATATCATATGATTTCACGAGAACGAAAATTTTACCAGAAACCCTGACTTGTTTCCTCAGAATAATCCGCTTAAATGATAATTTGGCACTATGCTGAGAAACCAGTGTTGGATGAAGAGTTTGAGACACTTTCTTTCGTACATTTTGTGGTAAACATCTAGGTGTGATATTTTACACAACCGTCCACAACATACGACAGAAGACGGGCCATCGCCCTGCCCGGTACACTGTTTCCTGTGCGTGTCTGCAGGAGAAAATGGCTTCCTCTTACAGTTATATCCTCAACAGTCCCATTTTCAGGGTTGCTAAAGACCATTGTTGTGAAAACAGGCGGCGGGGACGAGAGGGAAGGAAGGGAAAGGGTAGATTTTGTACACAGAATGCGTTTGTTTGTGTTCATCGCCAAACGATAAAGCTGTTTTCTCTCCGCCAGGACGGCAAAGTTGAACCACTAACCTGCACATGTAACGTCGCTCAAATCGTACGAGATGGCGCTCTTTGGGTACTCCTTTAGTTTCCTGCAACTCAAGTTTAACTTTCCTGTAACCTGGGCGTCCTCAAAGCTCTTTTCGAGGCTGCGAAGATTTGACAAGCTCGCCGTTCCGCCAAGACCGTGACTTACTGCCGCCATTTTTCCTACCTCTGTAGTAACATATCCCGCACGTCCGGCCCTGGCGATTGGTCAATTTGTATGCAAATGAAACAAACCTACTTCTCGATTGGCTGAAAATACGTAATACCGATCTAAACCAAAGTCACTTGTGATTGGCTACAGGCATGAAAGGCGCTTTTGTTTGAGTTGAGTGGTCTTGGTTCGGCTTGGGCAAGCAAATGGTCAATAATGCAAGCAATAGAAGATCAACTTCTTAAAATCATTGGAAGGGCAACTGGATCCGGATGGCTAAAATAGAGTAGGATATATCACAATGTTTTGCTTTTCCACATCTCTATCTAAAACATCAATGTGCACACACCTGTTCTTATGGCTTTATGGATGACAGGTGTGTTTTTAAGAATTAACGTAAATATTGTATCCCATGAATTTAACTACATATTTTAAGTCTGGGAATTTGCAGTTTTCTAACGTAACATGAGTGAAAATGTGGACAAATGGTTTTTCCTAACTTTCATTTCATTCGAAACGTGGTCATTTTCTTGAAACAAAAAATGCAACTCCATGTTTTTTGTTTATTTTTTACATTTAGTTATTGGAGCGGTAGAGAAGCTAATCTCCTACAAGACCCATATATGCATGTAATTTGTTGCTGCTATTTCCATCGGCAGAGCACCAGGACATGGGTGCAGTTTAGGCAAAACCGCCAGATAGAGCTTCCCCGCCATACTGATCGATATAGAAATGCTTTGGTCACGTACAAGTTAAGGCTTACTTGTCTCAATACATGACGTTTTGTCTTTATCAAACTTACTCAAATGTGGTTCCTGGATCGGAATATACTTGAAATTAGTTATATAACGTTATGTCAAGAATTTCTCAAAATCACGTCTTTTCCGACTTGGCCCAAGAAACTATCACTATTAAACTGTAAACTCAGGATCAAAAATGTATTCTTTGCTAGATCTATCGTAGAGAGGAATTGGATGACCAGTGCTTGTCTTTCGACAATGTTTTATAATGACATACAATGTACATGGTCGCATATACAGACATCACGTCGCGTAAAACTATAATTGTGGGGACTTTACTTACCTTCCAGTCTCCGAGGCCACGATGTTTAAGTGTAATATAATTACTGACTAGTACTCTGCATAACGGTCATCATTGTCAGAATTCTATCCTATCCAAAAATTTCCATGCGATTTTTTCCAACTCAGGAATTAACTCTGATTTGTCACATGGCGCATAGTGTAAGAAAGTGTAATTTCTAACGGAACATTCAAATTTCCCTGTAAACAGTACACCAAGGCTGTGACGTTAGAAGGTCGTACTCAAGGACCACCAGTGGTATGGGCAGCCAATGGGTTCTTCTTTTGGTCCTTGACACCATCCAAGTATTACGAATGGGAACTACATATAGGACGTACGCATCCGGTTATCAATATACATTCATTTCCAAGAAAAAAGACTAATCATCTGTTGTCCTTCGGCTGCCGTATTTCCGGAGTAGTCCACCACACCTGAAGAGCTACCTACTCGAGTTTGTAGTACTGGACATTACCAGTGAAGTTTGAATCGCATGCAAGACTGATTTCGCCAACTACCCGGGCCCGCTTTTTACTAGCTTTTATTTCGAGACTGGTAGCTATAGACAACGTCGACGTACCATCTCTGCCAGCGCCGACCTGGCTTCGCGATTAACGCCGCTGGAGTGAATCCATATTCATAGCACTGAGACGGACAAGGTAAATAGTTGCCTTTCGTACTCACATTGCATATAAAGAAACTGGGAAATACTTCTATTCTCTGTAGCTAGAACATCTTGTCTTATACGAAGCTTAACAGAAAAAAGAAAACTTCTCTTCTTCCGTATACCTTTCAACATCAGGACCATGAATATTCGGAGCGACCGATTCGAGGTCCAGAGAGGAGGCAACGACCGGCTGTTGAACCTACTCCTTCTTGTTCTGTATTTGGGGACACCTTGTCTGGGAGACGACATGAAACACTGCAAGATGGAATTGTCACCACGAAGTAAAATGGGACTTATGTTTCATTGCCAGTTTGGTAGGTTAACCGATATTCCAACAGGAATACCTGCCAACATTTCCTACTTAAAGATCTCCAACAATCCTGGGATTAAGAACCTCACACATATTCCGTCTCTCCCGAATCTAGAATCACTGCAAATGAACTTAAACAACATTGAAACTGTCTCGTGGATCTCACTGAGAAAATTACCGATTTTATCACTTCTCTGCCTATCCTTCAATAGAATAGCACACGTGGACTTGGGTGTAGTTATAGGATATCTTCCAAAGCTTAAGTTTGTAGATCTTTCAAATAACAGGCTGACATCATTTTCCAAAAACGACCTAGGACTTCCCTACGTGCATCAGGTAAATATCTACTACAACCATCTTATCTGTGACTGCACGATGCTGTGGCTGATAGAAAAGATGACATGTTTAAAAGAGTGCCCAGATTGTTATTTGACATGTGAGGTCGGCTTTCTCCCACCAAAATTTGGCGACAGACTTCTGCAGTGTGACAGTCCAAATCATTTGCAAGGCTTGCCTTTAGAAAACGTCAACACGTCACTGATGTCGTGTGGAGCACAGGAATCGCCCTCGACAGGAGTTGTACTGACGGATGGACTAGTTGGAACAGCTGCGAAATTGACCATTGAATACATGGATGCTCACGAAAAAAGCACTGCTCCTTTGGGCACACTTTTAGATGAAATTAAGACAAAAGCTTTTGAGCCCTCAATGCCCAGTTCCAGCCCGAGAAACATTTCCCTAAAAGAGGACAATAACGAGCAGATCAGTACTGTACACATCATAATCATAACTTCAGTTGCTGTCTTAGCGTTCATCTTCATGGTGGCCATGACAGTAAAGATGATAAAGTTGTACCGATTCGGTAGTTCTGAAGAGGATGATAATTCCCCAGGTAGAGATAATATCGCACTGCAGAATATCAGTCCACCGAGAGTGAACACTGCCTGTTATCAAAACTGCAATGCAGGGACAGGACAGCAACAGCAAGGATGTACTGCCCTATCTCTTGCTCAAATGGTACCACCAATTATTAACACTATGTATCACAGTCAATGCGGTACTGGGGTCACTCAACCACCTGATCCTACTGGCCAAACGTGCGTGGTGGCTCAGATCATTCCACCGATAGAAAACACTGCCTACCATCGATATCGGAACTGCAATGTAGGGACAGCACAACAAGATTCTACCAACATATCTCTGGCTCAAATAGTACCACCGATTCCAAACACCATGTACCACAGGCAACGCAATACAGGGTTTCCTCAACCACCTGCTGATTCTACCGAAATATGCGTGGCTCAGATCGTTCCACCGATAGAAAACACTGCCTACAGCAGAACTCCAAGCAGCAATGATGCTGCCTCAGCACGGGTCGTGTCAGCCTCAGTCTCAGAAAGCGAAGCGGACTGTAGACGTTTGCTTTCGTCCAGACCTTTGCCAGAATTGCCCTCAGCTGCGGGTCCACGTGAACGTATCGACGAGAACACTGGAGAAGGCACTGACTATGAACATGACTATGAGAACACACACTACAATACGTACACTGTATAAAATGTCATTTACGATACAAAGTTTTACATCATGACGATTGAAGTCCAAGTTCTTCAAAATTATCGGTCATTTCATTGTTAGAATTCTATCTTATAGTCTTTTTCAGTATTGAATTCATATATGTCGGTACAATTAGATTTAAATTTGATTTGTCACACAGTGTGAGAAAGTGTAATTTCCAGCAGAGCATTCAATTTCCTGTAAACAGTAGACTCACGCTGTAACTAGAAGGCCGTACTCAAGGACCACCAAAGTATGGGCAGCCAATGGGATCAGTTCTTCTTATAGTCCTTGATACTTTGCAATTTCAAGTATCTTGCATGCATATGGAAACTACACATGGGACGCATCCGATATCGTTACATATTCCTTTCTAAAAAACAGACTAATAATTTTTTTGTATCTTGCGGTGGCCGTCGGATAATTTTGTGGTCAAACACACCTAGTGAAGTGCTCGAGGTGGTGTACTGGGCATTGCCACTGTATGTAGTTGGAATCGCATGACTGGGCAACCACCAATTATGCAAACTATTTCAGGCTGGTAGTACTATTATTTACCGTCAACGTCACCGCACCATTCCCCCCAGCGAAGACAAGGCTTCACCACCGTGAAACACCGTAAGGACAGAATCGATATCCACAGAAGGACAAGGTAAATGGTTGTCTTTCGTAATCACATCGCCACGGCATAAAACGAAACTCAGCCATTTCTATACATGTATTGCTAGAAAAGCTTGTTTTATAAAAAGGTGCACCGAAAAGACTAATTTCTCTTATTCCGTACGTTTACAATTCAGTTAACAATAAAGACCACCATGGTTTGGAAGCGCGGCCGATTCAAGGTCCAGAGAGAATGCAACGACCGGTGGTGGTTGAACCTACTCCTTCTTGTTCTGTACTTGGGGACACCTTGTATGGGTGGTCTAGACGACATGAAACACTGCAAGATGGACTTTGTCAAAGAAACGTTAACTGATATGAAAATCTTTGTTTGCAAGTTTGGGTTAACTGATATTCCAACAGAAATACCAGTTAACATTTCTCACTTGAAGATCTCCAACAATCCTGGTATTAAGAACCTTACACATATTCCGTCTCTTCCAAATCTAGAATTATTAGACATGAATTCCAACAACATTGAAACTGTCTCGTGGATGTCACTGAGGAAATTTCCGAGTTTATCGTTTCTCTGCCTATCCTTCAATAGAATCGCACACGTTGACTTGGGTGTAGTTATAGGATATCTTCCAAAGCTGAAGTTCGTACATCTGGCAAATAACAGGCTGACATCATTTTCCGAAAACGACCTAGGACTTCCTTCCGTGCAACAGGTAAATATCAACAGGAACCCAATAACCTGTGACTGTACGATGCTGTGGCTGATAGAAAAGATGGCATGTCTAAAAGAATGCCCAGATTGTCATTTGAAATGCGAGGTCGACTTTCTCCCACCCAAATTTGGCGATAGACCTTTGCAGTGTGACAGTCCAAATCATTTGCAAGGCTTGCCTTTAGAAAACGTCAACACGTCACTGATGTCGTGTGGAGCACAGGAATCGCCCTCGACTGTAGTTGTACTGAGGGATGGACTAGTTGGTACAACTGCAAAATTGACCATTGGCATTGAGAACTTGGACGCTCAGGAGAAAAGCAATGCTCCTTGGGGCACACCTTCAGATGACATTCAGACAAAAACCTTTGAGCCCTCAGTGCCCAGTTCCACCACGAGAAACATTTCCCAAATAGAGGACAGTAGTGAGCAGATCAGCACTGTACACATCATAATCATAGCTTTGACAATTTGTATAGCGTTCATCTTCATTGTGGCCATGGCAATAAAGACAGTAAAGTTGCACCGATCCGGTAGTTCTGAGGAGGATGACAATTCGCCAAGTAGAGATAATATCGCACTGCAGAATATCAGTCCACCGATGCTGAACACTGCCTACCATGGAAACTTCGCAGCACAACAACAACAAGGGTCTACCGCCATATCTCTTGCTCAAATAGTACCACCAGTTCTCAACGCTATGTATCACGGGCAAGGCAGTACTGGGCTCCCTCAACCAGCTGGTTCTACCCAAACGTGCGTGGTGGCTCAGATCATTCCACCGATAGAAAACACTGCCTACCATCGGAACTGTAATGCAGGAACAGCACAGGGAGACATATCTTTGTCTCAAATAGTACCACCGGTTCTCAACGCTATGTATCACAGGCAAGGCAGTACTGGGGTCCCTCGACCACCTGATTCTGCCGCACCATGCTTGGCCCAGTTTATTCCACCGATAGAAAACACTGCCTACATCAGCAATACTGCTGCGTCATCACGGGACATGTCAGCCTCTGTATCAGAAAGAGAAGCGGCCTGTAGACGTTTGCTTTCGTCTAGACCTTTGCCAGAACTGCCCTCAGCTCCGAGTCCACATGAACCTGACGATGTTATTCCCATCTACGAGAACACTGAATAAGACGCTGACCCTGGAAATGACTACATAAGAACACACACTGCTATACGCACACTGTATAAAATGACATTTACGACCCAAAGTAAGTTTACATAATAAAAATGACAATTGAAGTCCAAGTACTTTAAAATCATCAGCCATTTCATTGTTAGAATTCTATCTCATAGTCTGTTTCAGGAGGGAAAAAAATACTTTTCTTGAATACATCCTCCTTATTTAAATGTGATTTATCCAGTGGAGCATTCAAATTTCCTGTAAACAGTAGACCATAACTGCGACGTCGTACTCAAAGACCACCAAAGGTACGGACAGCCAAAATGGGATCATGATCAGTTATTTCCCCTGGTCCTTGACACCTTCCAAGTATTTATAAGTATGAAAACTACATATGGGACGCATCTGATATCCTTACATATTCATTTGAGTTTCCAAGAAAAAGACTAATCATGTATCTTGCGGTGGCCGTCGGATAATTTTGTGGTCAAACACACGTGGTGAAAAGCTCGAGGCGGTGTGCTGAATAACACCACTGTACAATGTAGTTGGAATCGCATGACTGGTAAACCACCAATATTCTGCAATTTATTTGAGGCTGGTAGCTACATATACCGTCACCGTCAACGTCACCGCATCATTCCCCTCAGCGCCGACAAGGCTTCTAAACGCCGTGAGGACATAATCCACAGATGGTAAAATGGTTGCCTTTCATAGTAGCAGCGCCACGGCCTAAAACGAAACTGAGCGAGGAATTTCTATTATGACCGTATTACTAGAAAGCTTGTCTTATAAAAAAAGGTGCACTGAAAAGACTAATTTCTCTTTTTGTGCACGTTTAGAATTCAGTATACAATTGGGACAATCATGATTCCGAAGCGCGACCGATTTGAGGTCCAGAAAAGGAGCAACGACCGGTGGTTGAACCTACTCCTTCTTGTTCTGTATTTGGGGACACCTTGTATGGGTGGTCTGGACGACATGAAATACTGCAAGATGGACTTTGTCAAAGGAACATTAACTGATATGAAAATCTTTGTTTGCAAGTTTGGGTTAACCGATATTCCAACAGGAATACCAGCCAACATTTCTCACTTAAAGATATCCAACAATCCTGGGATTAGGAACCTTACACATATTCCGTCTCTTTCAAATCTAGAATCATTAGACATGAATTCCAACAACATTAAAACTGTCTCGTGGATCTTACTGAGAAAATTACCGAGTTTATCGTTTCTCTGCCTATCCTTCAACAGAATCGCACACGTTGACTTGGGTGTAGTTATAGGATATCTTCCAAAGCTGAAGTTCGTAGATCTGGCAAGTAACATGCTGACATCATTTTCTGAAAACGAGCTAGGACTTTCTTCTGTGCAACAGGTAAATATCTACTACAACCCTCTTATATGTGACTGCACGATGCTGTGGTTGATAGAAAAGATGGCATGTTTAAAAGAATGCCCTGGTTGTCATTTGAAATGTGACGCCGGATTTCTCCCAACCAAATTTGGAGGCAGACTTCAGTGTGACAGTCCAAATCATTTGCAAGGCTTGCCTTTAGAAAACGTCAACACATCACTGATGTCGTGTGAAGCACAGGAATCACCCTCGACAGCAGTTGTACTGACGGATGGACTAGTTGTCAGGACTGCGAAATTGACCGTTGAGAACGAGAAAAACACTGCTCCTTGGGGCACAACTTCAGATATCAATGAAATTCAGACAAAAACCTTTGAACCCTCAATGCCCACTTCCACACCGAGAAGCATTCCTCAAATAAAGGACACTAATCAGCAGATCAGTACTGTAGACATCATAATCATAACTTTAGTTGCTTCCTTAGCGTTTATCCTTATCCTGGCAATGACAAGAGAGATAGTAAAGTTGCACCGATCTCGTAGTCCTGATGAGGATGACAATTCGCCAGCTAGAGATAACATCGCACCGCAGATAGAAAACACTGCTTACCATCGAAATTGCAATGTAGGCGCAGCACAACAAGACTCTATCGCCCTGGCTCAAATAGCACCACCGATTATCAACGCTATGTATCACAGACAATGCAGTACTGGGGTCCCTCAACCACCTGATTCTACCGAAACATGCTTGGCCCAGATTACTCCACCGATAGAAAACACTGCCTACATCAGCAATGCTGCTGCCTCCTCACGGGTCATGTCAGCTTCAGTCTCGGAAAGAGAAGCGGATCGTAGACATTTGCTTTCGTCCAGACCTTTGCCAGAAGTGCCCTCAGCTGCGAGTCCACATGGACCTGACGACGTTATTTCCACTTTCGAGAACAATGGAGAAGACTCGCACTGCTATGAGTACATTCCTTAAAATATATTTTACACAAAGATTTACACAATATAAACAAAACTTTAAGTTGATTCAGATAATCAAACTGCTATGTAAGCCTATCTAAGTTCAAGTGCCTCGAAATTTGGATAGATATAATGAGTGTTGAGAAATTTGTGACATATATGCGGTGACAAGTGTGATGAGGGGAGTTCATGATAAGTAAATTTCCTTGGGGGTAAGACGATGTCATCAGTCAACATGACAGACATAAAAATTTAAATTAAGTCAATGTTCAGTAGAAATCATGTTATCTGCGTTTTTTGGAGGAAGTATGTTTTGCATAAGGGAGACAGTAGAAATGAATTATAGCGTTACTCGTACTCGTGTATGTATTTAAAACATTGGTTTGACGAAATAGCTGTAGCCATTGCCAACTTAACCAGTACAGTAGATTTCAACATGATACTTGAAATGTACCAATGCCTCCCAGTGGCAATGCGAAGGACCAGCATTCGATCCTTCAAATGTTTTAGAATGTTTGAATAGCTCAATCGTATTTGTTGTACAGGTTGTTGTCCGTATATGAAATATCAAATGTTTACTTTTTTCGTAAAAATCAATTCAGCTCAAAACATTACACGGCTTTCCCCGATTGAATATTGACATGTACTGTTACACGAAAAAAGTAACCTTCAATTGTCTGGCGTCTCCCTGACGCACGTTTCTGATCACACATGGTCTGGAATATGTAGATCAAGGCACATTCTAGAAAAATATATTCTAGACAAATATTGTCTGTAGTCTGGAACAATAACCTCTGTTGACACGCAACTGTGAGATGATTGGGAGTTTCTCATTCCGATTTTGAAAATGTTTTCTAGTCTGGCGATACAATGTTACTTGCTTCGATATATTGGTGTATTTTTAGTTTTATTTATCTATTTTTACCTTCTTTACAGCTCATCGTGTTTTCATTTGGGAAGGTAATGAATCAAGTCTAGTTGTTGTAGCAATGTTTGTGCCAGTTGTTAGTTGGATTATTATTAAGGTCATGTTATGTATTAAAAGGGGCAATATTTAACTTTTTGCACCAAAAATTTCGATATTTTAGTTGAAAAAAATCGGTGAAATTGATCTAAACTCAGCACCTGGCAGCAAAGAGCTTTACAAATACAAATAAACCAACTTATTTATCTAAATACATCAATAACACAGTGTGACACAGTGATAATCCAATACTTTGGTTTTACTACAAGCATACATTCTCTAAATATAGATGAACACAATCATGTCATCCCTGTCAACACTAGACATCTGAATACCAACACTACCTAATGTACAGTACAACATACATGTACAGGGAAGTACACATCATGAAGTTCCTTATAAAAATGGACACTTTTTTTTACTGCACAGGACCATTATTTTATAATAGTCTCTTGTCCATACATACAACCAATATTTTCCCGATCATTAAAATGTTAAATAAACCAAACTATATTCCTTCATTGTAAAGTACTAAAACCGTTAAATTATGGCCACTAGATGTAAAAGTGTAGTAAAAACTATATATTATGTGAAACAACTAATACTGCAATCTGATCATCATAAATAGCTTGTAGAGTATGTACACTGAATGACGTGCTCTGGTCACATATTTTCAATGTACAGTTCCAGCAGACAGTAATATAAGGTATTTCTCATCAGTGAAATGTATCTTCTTAGACTGCAAAAAAAGAATAAGACAATCATTTCTTTAATAAAAAGGGAATTCTTCATAAAAGACATGGCTATGAATCATTACAGAATAAAATTTATGGTATTGCCACAAGTTAAATGTTGGTCTTTTTCTTCTTACTCAAATGTTTTAAAGGCTGTGGGATTGATAGAAGTATAAGGAAGTACATTCCAATATTTTGCTGTTGCTAGTATGCTATAATATGCAGTATCACTGGAATCAATGTACACGAAATGACAGGTCTATGGGTCCATCTATTGGAAGTATGTACTTATCGGAGAAAATACGATGATGCTTGTTAATGTTCCTGCTGTGATTAAGAAAAGATTTAAGAATAACCCAACATTTTGGGAACCAAAGCCTTTGCCAATGAAGCAATCGAAGTTGAATATTTCAACAAATACTTTTGGCCCTTTCCTCTAATGCTGATAATCCTTTAAAAAGATTTTGGTTGTAGATTTTTCTAAAACACATCTTTTCTCTTGTGCTACAAACAAAAATCAATGAATGACTTTTCAACTAACCTCTTAATAGATCAAACAAGAAACCAACTAACCGACAAACTATCATAATAATTAACAAACATAATGTCCTATACCATTAATAACAACAAGGTGTAAGCTATATTACTAGTACTTGTGATATCTTTTTACATAAAAACAACCTGTTTTGACATCTTTTTTTATCCAAAAGTGTTCATGTCGAATCTACATAGAACTATTTACAGACAGTTTTTACTTGGGGACAGAACTTACATGGTTTGACTAGAAAATATTTAAAATACTGCTACAAAATGGTCATCAAGAAACCATATTCATTGTTTTGACATCAAATCAAATTTCTTGTCTGTACCTAGACAAAATTGGTAGGTTATATTTACAGATACCAAGGAATATACCATTCTCAATGTAAAGATGGGGGTGAGAAGGATGCAGTCCAGAGTTCGAAAAAGAAAGATTAAAAAATTCCAAGGAGGGTGGAATCATTCAGTTCAGTCATTTTAATCATTTTGAATGTCCCAATGAATTGAACTGCTTTTTTGTGCTCCAAATAATTAACACCCCTCTCAACTTTTTTTAAATAAGAGAGGCCCTGGTGAAACCATGTTTATGAGTAGAAGGGGGTGGGGAGTACATGTAGTTGTTTACTAGTATCCAACCCACCAATATAATTGTTGACATTTGCAAACAAAGAAATGGTCTATACATATACATACTTACCCCCTCTCCCCCACCAACAGTAGGTATATAACTCCAAAGGGAACTAAAACCTATCTGTTAAAACTCTGTACAAGTTTTACAAATTGGTCTTAAATATATCACAGTGCCATCTTCTACAACACGAGCTAACTATAGCACTTCGAGCGATACACGTTATTTACAAGCGAGTGGTTCAGTACAAAGCTGCTCTGGAATGGTTCACAAATGAGCGGTTGGAGCACATCTACTTTGGATTAGTACAGCAAAGATGCTGGGGTAAGTATTTGGTATTTGTCCTGGTGATACCAGGTAGTTGTTTCAAAGCAAAATTTCGTGTGAAAAAATGCTGTAATGCTGTAAATATGCTGAGAATGCTGTAAATATGTCCCGGATTCATATAGCACTGTAAATAAAAGAGTACTTGAGGGTTATTCCATTTTAGACATCATAGGAGGGGGAATCAAATGATCTGAATACCCCCCTCCACTTGGACAATGGAATAGCCCTTAAACAGCTATAGACAAGAAGCATGTCAGGCAAGAAGCATGTCAGACTGACCTGTGAGATAAATAGCACTCATCTTACATGTACATAATAGACACAACACAAGTATATGTGTCTACAGTCTAGGGGGCACCACTGAATGCTTTCCTTACTGCAACTTGATTCAAGAAAGTGTAAGAAAGACTTTTTAGACAGTATAAGTCACAGATAGGTACATGTTCAACCAATCAGTCGTCTTCGGTAACGTACGCGACCAAGTCCATGACATTGGCCAATAGTTCGTCTTCGTCTTCTCCCGATTGCCGACTGCTCCGTCCCGAGGAATCGTGGGTACCGTTTTGTGTCATCTGTGCGGGAAGTGGAAGGGTGTCCGTCGTCGGAGAACTCTCCATGGATTTGGAGACTTTGGGAAGTTGAAATGATACCCCCATCTTGTTCCCTTCTGCTGATGTGTCTTGTTCCTTGTTGTCCTTTTCTGATGACAGTTCTTTCTTTTTGGGATCTTCCTCTTCTTCATCTTGGTCTTTTGTTTCCTGGTCGTCTTTCGACTCTTCTTTTTCCTTTTCTTCTTCTTCTTCCTCTTCCTCGTCATCATCGGATTCAGAAGTATCGAGCTGCAAAAGTTTAATGAATTGGACTGTGCATTGAGGCATGGATATACATTGTACCGGTATACACTTGTGTGTCTGCTACATGTACCACAACTTCTTTGAGGAACTGGTCTTGTCTACAACACTTCTATTCAAAACTAGACAATGCACTGTAAGTCTCTGAATGTAACTTTGCCACATGTAGCACAGTTCCTGCCTGCTAGTAACCTGCAGTTTAGAAGGAAGCTGCAAGGGGTACCAGTTTGCTCCATTGTTAGGCTATTCACAATACAGCAATTACAGCAATCAATGAAATGAATCCATCCATTCATTATGTATGACTATGAAGAATCTTGACTTATCCCATTCATAAATTGAGAATCTAACAGTAACATTGGCAATAACCACTTTCCAGAGATTACTAACAACTGCCACTGACCTGCCGTCTAGCTGGTTTCTTTGGTTCCTCCCTGGTCTCATCCGAGCTGGACTCACTCTCACTGCTGGACTCCAGGCGTGGTCGTTTCCTCCTGGGGGACCCCTCCTCTTTCACACTCTCTGGTTCCCACTCCAGGTCTGGCAGGTCCGATCTGGTGAAGGGACATGGTGTTTGTTAATGTTTTAGCTGATGTACTCATTGTTGTGACTATCTTTTGTGCTGTATTTTAACGATAATGATGCAGACATATGTAAGATTTCATGCTAACTTTATCTATTTGTAATGATGGGTGGGCGGTATGTTGTAAATACTGAACATATTTCATGCACTTCACTTTGACATGCCAGTCGATATTCAGTAAATCTGAATCTAAACGCTTGAACGGTTTAAGTTTTACTGTGTATCTAACCACTAGGCATTTTTAAAAAAGTAAAGGCTTCAAATAACACTTTAAGTGAGTGACTACATATTTTCTTGAGATTTAGAAGTCATTTTTGCAAATTGCAAGTTGGCATTTAAGCCCAGACTGTTCAATTGACAAGTGTCTAATGTGTTCACCTCTTAGTCTTCTCCTTCTCCTCCTCACTGCTGGAGGACTCCTTGTAGCAGACCTTCTGTCGGCGAGCAGAGTACGTCCTCACACCCGACCACCTGGGAATGTTCTCACTACTCACACTGGAATGTTCGTCATCTGAAAACAACACAAGGAGTAGCCTACAGGTTAAACAAACTTGACAAGGCACAATTTCTTCTACATTTAGAGAACTGTTTGTAGTACATGCATGTCCTGCTCAGTAGTTGAATGTCTTTGTTTTTCTTTTTTGTCTGCATACACATTTGTTTCATGCATGCACCTCTCTTGCTTACAAGACATGCATGTGAGATGCTGAATTTTGGTTAACCTCCTCCAAGCTGCCTAACCTCAAAAACAATATAAATTGTGCCATAAAATGCTGCCTTGGCAGACTAAACGTTAAGCTTTAGTTTGTGATGATTGTAATGTCTTGAATTTTGTGTATGTAATATCCAGACTCAGAAGATAAGATTCCTGGAAAGTTATAAAGAAGGGTGAAATGTATCACGGCAACAAAGAATCAAAGAAAAGAAAAAGTAAATTAAGAAAACATCTGACAGTACCGATGTCTTCTTCCTCCTCGTCTGAGTCCCAGTACCGGCGTTTGCGGCCGGACCTGAGGCGGGAACTCCTGCGGGTGGCCTTGGAGGAGCGTCGGGACTGAAACCTCCTCCTGGTCCTCTGTGCCAGGGAGTCCTCACTGTCACTCAGACTGGCCTCGCTGGGTTCACTGGGCTCCTCTTCAACCTCACTCTGCTCACTGGGAGGAACAGACATATTTATATTGTAACACTGTGGAAAGAGGGAAAGACACAAGCTGACAAAGGTTGACTTGTGGAACCCGTGCCACTCGCATAGTGTGTCAGTTCACAACCAGTGCACCAACCGATTAGGCCAAAAGGTCCACCCACTGGGCTGGGCAGTTAGTGACACCTATATACTCACTGATACACTACTCCCCCTCTCCTCTGAGATTTGTCTTCGACTCTCCAAGTTTCTTGTCCCTGCGGGCACACTCGGCCATACAATACATCTCGCAGGGCTACTTCCTACACCATTGTAACACCGTAGAAAGAGAGAAAGACACAAGCCGACAAAGGTTGACTCTGACTCCCGCAATTACCTTCCTTCGCTCATGTTGTACTCTTCCTCACTCCCCACTTCTTCCTCGCTGTCTGCGTCCAGGTCCATGAGTCTGCGGCGGCGGCCCTTCTTCGGTCCCTCCTTCTTCACCACGCCACCCTCTGCAGCGATGATGTTCTCTATGTCCTTACCCCCATATCCTCCTGCACCTGAGGCAAGGCGAAACAAGGCAATCTGTGATAGCGCACTTACCCCCCCTGGCAGAACATGAGAGAACTGCAGTGTGGAAATCCCACTAACACATAAGCAGCAGCTTGAAGAAAAATCAGATGTCAAGCAGCTACTGAAAGGATGGAGGGACGAATCAAGACACATAAGACAGTAGTTCAGTGAAGCTTCACAGCCCAAATATTTAACCTAACACACTGGGTCACCCCTATATTGCTCTGTGAGTTGCATTCTTTTATCTTTAGAAGAGATTTGATGCCATAAGCTTCATCATACACTGGGCAGCCAGCTTTATGTCCCAATCTGACAGGACAATGCAACTCTTTTTCAGATGTGTCCAGACCTGGGAGCAAATACTGGTACATCTTGTCATAGTCAAGAACTTGTACATCTTAAATAAAGACAAAATCTGTAGTGACTTACCTTCTGATGCTTTGATATCCTCCTGAATGGCTTCGTTGATGACCTCGTCAAAGTCGTCAAACCTGTAGGAGATGTCCTTCCTTGTGCGCCGCGACGTGCGTCTCTCCGCGATGGTCTTGACGGGTTTCTCGTCGTCGTAGTAGTGGCGGCGGCGGTGGTGTCCGTGGTGCTGCTTCTTCTTCTTCTTGTGCTGGTGACGAGGCCTGATCCTCTCCTCCTCATCACTGCCTACCATCTCAGACTTAGGATCAGGCTGGGAGGGGAGGAACAGGGTGTTAGAGAGGTTTGAAGTACAGAAAGCTACAATTATGTTACTTTCACTAATATAAAGAGGACCCAGTTCATTATATATTGCTGAGAAGACTTTGATTTAAAAAAAATGAAAACGGGTACAAGATTTTGGGCTGGGGTGTGTGTATGTGTGTTGTGTGTTGTGGTCTTCTCTGACTGATCCAGTCTCTAGTATTGATTTAAAACTTCACCAAGCTACAAAATTACATGACTGTGTATGTACAAAGTAGTACAAAAGGCCATTACATTCACTTACAATAAGCAAGACCCAGTTCTTTTATTTTCAAAAGAATTACAAGAGGGGTACAAGATGTTGATCTGGGGGTGTGTATGTGTGAGTAAGTGTTATGGTTTTTACCAGTCTGTAGTCAACAAAGCTACAAAATTACATAATTATAAGTACAGTACAACCAATAGTGAACTTACCTCAGGAATGACATTCTCCAGGCTGATGCCAACGTACGTCAACCTTTCCTTCCTGCGCTCTGCTCGTTGTTTCTTCTTGAGTTCCTGGTCCACTTCTGCTAAGGCTTCTCTCAGTTTACTCACCAGCTGCACCTAGACATAAGACATGTACATGTTTCTTCATTCTATTCCAGTTCCATGAGCCACTAACAATTTTTATGGCCTTCTGGCACTTTGATTGTGTAAAACTCAACATAAAATATAGTAATTATTACTTACATGTTCACAGCTGGGACAGAACCAGTCTCCATCAGGGATCATCATCAGAGGGGGGCGCAAGCAGGCTGTGTGATAACCACTATCACATTTGTCGCACAAGAGGATCTACATGGGGAACAGTGACATGATTATAAGCTGTGTGTGTGATAATTACCATTACATTTATCACAAAGAAGATTATACAAGGAGGAAACGTAACTCTCAAACAAACTATGTGATAACTACTGTCAAAGGTGATCTATTGGCATAATCAACATCAGAATTCCACGTCATGTACATGTACTTTTCATTTGATAATTTGTGGCACACAATTATGTAGGGAAATGCCAAAAAACAGAACTTAAAAAAATCATAATGCCTTTGATTGCATGAAAGAAGGAAAGTATAGTTGCTAATTTCAAAGAATGCATTTCATAACAAAAACAATAATAAGAGGAAGGAAACTGAACTATGCACACTGCACTTAGTATCCGTCCCCACGTACCCATTCCGGATGATTGTACATGCCACATTTACAGCAGGGAGAGTCGTCCTCAGTAGGGTATTCACTCTCCTCTTCTTCTGAACTATCCTCCTCCTCTTCTTCATCCTCCGATTCTTCCTCACTCGTGCTGTCCTTCCTGCGCCGCCCCCTCCTCTTGCCACGCCCTCTCTTCTCTCGGCTCTTCTTGACAGGTTTTGGGGAGGGGGGCAGGGAGGGTTCGGATGGCTCTTTTGGGTAGGTGACAGGTTTCTTCTGCAAATGGAGACAGCAACATTTTTGTAAAGCACAAAACAAATAATTAACTTTCAAACATACACTTGTATTAGCAACATTATTGAAATTTGTACTAACAATTATCTAAGATTGATGATCAACCAAAATGTCACGATGGAATTTTGCAAAGTAACAATAATGCCTATATACAACATTTACTAACATAAATATAGCACAGGCAAAAGATTATAGCAAACAAGAAAGTCTTTCGTGAATAGTTTCATGAGGTGGTTGAAGCCAAGTTCTTTTCTCACAGCCAAAAGCTGATGTTTCACTGACCATTGTCATCTTCATCGTGGCAATTTATCATTAATGATTAAGATTACCCTGATGAAGATGACAAGACAGTCCCAATGTTAACATACCTTAACTTCAGGTGTGTAGACTTGTTGTACAGCTTTCCTGGCCCTGGTACTTCTCCTGATGGGAGCACTACTGACAGCCTCCTTACTGCTCTCAGAGTCTTTACTCACACTTCTGCTGTCATCAAGCTCTTCTCCTTCTTCTTCCTTCCCTTCTACATCCTCATCCCTCTCCTTTGCTGGCTTCTTTGTGGCTCCTTTAAGACCCTTTCTACCCCTCCTCCCTCTTTTCCTGCCCCTTTGGGGCTTGGTGGTGTCTTCAGATGTTTCTAAGTCGTCTTTTTCAGTGGCATCTTCTTTGTGGTCTTCTTCTGTTTCCTCTTCAGGGTGTTCACTCTTCTTGGGTTTCGTATCAGAGTCTTTGCTCTCTTCCCCAGTGTTGTCAGCTGACATGTCAGGGTCTTTGCTCTCCTTCCCAGGTTTGTCCTTACTTGTACAAGAATCTGCAGTCTTGTTCCCAGGGTTCTCTTGTTCCTTTTCGTCAGGTTTCTCACTCTCTTTCCCAGGCTTTGGACTCTTCTCACCACCATGCTTGGTCACATCCTCCCCAGCTGCCTCAGTTTTTTTCTCAGGTTCTTTACTCTCTCTCTCACTGTTCTCACTCTCTGATGTAGTGTTAACTGGAGAAGTTTCAGCTTTCTTCTCCTTTTCCTCCTTCTCTTTGACCTTGCTCTCTTCAGGTTCAATCGATGACCTTGACTCCTCAGTCTTTTTACTCTCACTTTTGTCATCTGAGACACGATTGGTGGAGACCTGCTCCCTCTCAGTGGTCTGCATCTCTTTCCCGGAATCAGACATCTTGTTCCCAGTGTTATTAACATCTGACCTTTGACCCTCCCTCTCATTGGCTGTTCTCACCTCTGACGATTCATCAGTATTGCTGCTTGAATTGTTCAAAGTGTTCTTGGACAGTATTTCTCTCACTTTACTCTTTGCTTCTGTAAAAATACAAAATATTAACATTGATATGAGATATGAGAATATCCACAATTAGATTATTCACCCTTTGACATGCAAAGTTTAAATTATAAACAGCTTTGAGTTGACCAATTTTTGCATCCTCAAAATAAAGTGTTTTTACTTTCACCAAAATCTATTAGGATACCTTCAACTGCTGCAGTTTCCGACATTTCTCTGCTGTTAGCACCCTTGTCCTCTTCTTTGGCTGTACTGCCACCTTCCGTAGGGCTCCTTCTTTCCTTCTGTCCATCCTGGCTGCCCATCTCTCCCTGCAGCGGAACACTGTCCATACTGCTGCCCTCCCCCATACAGTAGTGTATCCTACCGTTTGCAAACGTCTGCAGTCCTACGGTAGGATCCATACTCGCGCTGACCACACGCGGCGGTTCTGTGATAGCGTCTCTTTCGCACTTAATGGGGACATCGCGTAGGATATTCTCAATAGAATGGATTCCCTTGTGCACATGGCTAACCGGTTTTGGCGGAGGCGAGGGTTCCTGTTGTTTGTTGCCACCCTTGCTTGTTTCTCCTTTATCTTTGGCCTCGGACTGGTTGGAAGATGTTGCGCTTTTCTCACTCGTGCCAGCACTAGATTCTAACCCAGACTTCACAATAACACTTTCCTTGTTCATTTTTTCATCTTCTTTTGAGGTGGACATTGTGGGTTCTGGTTTGACAGGCTCTTGAGTGATCTCTCTCTTCACGATGACACTGACATGTTGGGAGGTGATGGGCTTACTGGTTTCTTCCTTGCCTGACTTGTCCTCTGTAGCTGCTTGAACGTCCTTTCTGTTTTCCTTTACTTGACTCTCTTTTCTTGGCTTGTCATCTGTGGCAGTTTTGATGTCTTCTTTATCTTCTTTCAGTTGGCTGTCCTTTTTTGGCTTGACATCTGTTTGGGCCTCCTCCTTGTTTTCCTTGTCCTCATCTGTAAAAACAGAACCAATGAAATTTGTCTTGTTGGAAGTATTTTTACTTCTTACGAAGGCAAAACTTTGGCACACTGCTCAAAAATTTATTGGACCTACTTTAGGCTTATCCATATAGGTATTCTGAACTATATTTGGAAACAAAGAATGATGTCACCATCCCAAACACCACGACAAGGTAGACCGACTTCACAAAACAGACATAACAGGACACAACTCCCCAACTTCAACTGATTCTAAGTCCACATCAAACAATCAATACAACACATACTTGCATTACAACAACAAGGATCTTGTACCTCAGTTTCCACTCAAAAGGACTTTTCCAGATTCCCTTATATTATAACGTCAAATAGTCCCTTTACAATTACCAGGCTCAAAATATCTTTCTACAATATGTGATTCCTGATACAGAGCCTATGTCATTGCAAATTGATAATATTTCTTCTGCAAATGGCTGGTATTAATTACAAACATAATGCCAATTATACCTCTTTTACAATTCCGATCCCTATCCCTGTGAATCTGAAGTTCCACAGACTGCACTTTTATGACTTTTTGTGGAATCTTATCACTTCAAACCACACAAACCAAGATTTCCATGCTTGTCACAACCCAGGGGTCTGTTAAGAAGATCCATTCCTATATAAAACATGCATCAAGTTATATTATTTCTCTTGCCAAAGTATAGCTTAAGTTATGTTCAAGCATTACAGCTCAGAAAACACAGTTATGATGACGTCCATTTAACAGTCCCCAGATTGCCCTATGACTGAGGAACTCACCATACTGACCATTGGTACATTTGTCCTTAATCTTACCGGCCAGACTGGCCTGGTCAGTGGACGTGGACTTATCGTCCTCCTCCTCCTGGTCAGCAGTGTCCTTCCCTCCCCCCTCCAGCTCTGCAATGAGACCTTCCAACTCATCACGAGTCCTGAAAGCGAATTAACAAATGCACTTTTACAGTGAACTTAAATGATGTCTTTGGTGCACCAAGGTGCACATTGGCAGAACGTACTGCGCCTGCATGAAATCTGAAATGCAATGTGCAAAGCACTTCTACATAATGTATGCTTTAGGGTTGTGGTCACATATTAAGAATGAAATCTTCTAATACTCCCCAACTGCGACTTCAGATAGCCTGAGCCCAAAGAAAGAATAATATATATATAGAAAACTTAGTAATACAACACAGAGACACTACTAATCATTTCTCAAAGACAACAACTGCCCCCCTCCCCCATATCATGACATTCCACTGTTTCCAGGTGTGCTTTTCTCACCTGCAGACCACCTGCCAGGTGGAGTTATACTGGTCGTCTGGCTCCTCTCGGTACAGGTGCAAGTTCATGTCTGCATCCTGAGAAAACAAAAGAATTACACAAAGTCAAGGTGACACATACTAGTATTTCAATCCTTAACCTGATGTGGTTATCCTGAATGTCTCATGGAGAGACCACATCAGAAATGAGGAATCCGAGCCATGCTGGGAATGGAAAATACCATAATTGACGACATTCATAAAAGAAGGCTGAGGTGGTTCGGTCACGTTCAGAGGAGACCCCCAGACTCTTTGGTATATGGGGCCTACCATCAGGATTTCACAAACCCCAGACCTAGAGGTAGACCCCCTAAAAGATGGCGGGACCAGATAGTACAGGACACGGGGTGGTCCCTCAAGTACGCTGAACGAAAGGCTAAGGACCGCGATGCCTGGCGGGAAAAAATGAAGAGGAGCAAGGGGCCAGTTCTGGCCTAAGCATTTAGGCAGGCAGGCCTGATGTGGTGGACTGTTGGAACCAAAACTCTATTAGCTAACAGGTTACATAACAGGGAGAGGGTTAACAATCTTTCTTGACTCTTAAAACATTTTATATATCTATCTAAATTGGTTTGGCTGTTGAACCCTCACAGCCAGGGCAGCCCAACTAGCCAGTGGCTATTACAAAGGGCTTGTCCTGCTGACAAGACATGACATTAAAACATTACAGCTGACAGCAACATATAAGGTGGCTTAACAACCTACAATAAAACATTTTGTAATGACTATTAACTTAAACATTTTTCTTGAGGTAGCCTTATGGCATCTAGTTTCTAATGGTTATGGTCGAACATAATTTAACTCAAGCACTTAATCTAACCCGAGCAATGTTCTAACATATTTCACTACTAACCTGCATGTACCAGTACAGCATGCCATTTTTGTCTCGTCCCAGAGGTTTCTCGCGCATCGCGTCTGCTTCTTCTTTATTCAACACCTCGGCACGAAACTTCAGGTTGTCGTCAAACTGGCGCTCGCACAGGTACTGTAAGTCAAAGGTCAAACACAGAGCCGTCAGTTCATGGTAATTACAGCATCTATTTGCTGGCTGGTGTTTTGAATTTGAGTACACAACTTGGAAAAGAATAAAAAAAACATTGAAATAGAATAAAGAATATTGTAAATCACTTTATTTTTGCGGTACTTTTACATTCACTGGTGCCGCAAATTTATCATTACTGCGAACAAATAATTCACTGATTTTCTTTCTTCTGCACATGTGGCCACCACAAACATATAGTTCTGCGAACATGTCCATTTTTCTCAGAGTACAAAATATACCACAAATATGAAGTGGATATTTCAGGATATACAGTAGTTTGTACCTTTAGCAGTTTGAGCTTGATGTTAGGGTCCACCTCCTGGTACCCACCCTGCTCCATCTCCCAGGCTGCAATCTGAGAGAACTGACGGCACATCTGGGAACAAGGTAATGTGTGCTCAATGTATAACACTTCATGGCACAGGTAAGTCATAAATGGTAAATAAAAGATTTCAAGAGTTTATCTCATGGAAAGTTATTGATATTTCCAAATAAAATAATAAAATGTGGGTCTTCTTTTACCTATTTACAGTGTTGATGACAGGTAGATTAAGACTGCACAACTGATCAAAGTGTTGGATCATGATTTTATAATTTTTAGTTTATTCTATAATGACTTTATTGGCAATGCTAAAGATTATGCTTACCTTAACGAGGTACCTCTCCCACTTGTCCGAGGACACACTCTTCCCGATCTTACGCATCAACTTGACCTGCATCATGATCAAGTCTGGGTTCACTGAAATAAGAAGGAAATTGTTACTATTAGCTCCACTCCTCAAGTGTCGCCAAAAAACGGCTGAAAATCAATCCAATTTGGGTTGATTCTACTCACAAATTATTTATACTGGTTGCAAATCCTACCAAGAAATTCAAAGCCAATAAGCAATTCAGTAAATTGACACAGTCGGAAGAAAATTACTACATATTAAAGCATTGAGATATTTTCCTTGCAGGTGCATGTGAATGACTTTTTTGTTTCTGGTAAGCTAATTTTTTTTATTCAGACTATTTAATTGAATACCATTGGGACACATTCATGGAAGAATCTCAATCTGTATAATGTCTGGATCTTAATACTAGATAAATTTCATTTGTTTGTCCCTTTCTGTTTTTTTTTTATTCCAACTATCCCTCAAATACCAGCAGTTAAATTTCAATACATATCCCTAAATTATCAACACGTGTTTACCTTTTACCAACATACTGCTTATAAACTACTTATTGAAAAATAAACAACAGTCTAATATGCCTCGTATAAAATTCAAGGTGATAAATTAGAATCATTGTTGAAATTTTGAAATCAAATAATACAACATGAACAGGAATAAAGACAAGCATAAGTGTGCAATAGATAAAATGTGTCGGTTATTGATAAGATTTATTGATTTTCATAAATGTAAACAAAGCCATGTGGTTATTATAAACAATAATAAATTATTGCATATCACACAAATAAATATGAATTCCCAAATTTTTAAACAGAAATTATAATGTGTACAAAGATTATTATTGCCTAAGCAGTAAGCACACATATCCACACAAACCTTACAATTGTATAATACCATGAAAAGCATGTAACGTTATTGGGGATAACATAATATAATTTGAGGTGAATGGCTGGGAAAATTATGTTTCTGTTGTGACAATTGAAAGAATATCTACAAGTTGAAACTGTTTATAGCCAAATGTGGATGCATAGATGTAATTTCTAGCCCCCAGCACTGCATCTGTACCTGTAGGTGTGCACACCTGTGGTCAGGTGTCGGATTACCTGCATGCTGCAGAGACCACCCATTCGCCCCCCTCCCCACTCACCTAATTTATACCAATTCACACCCAAAACGGACACCTATTCAACAATAAAACGATTCGGTGCACGAATGGCTTTTAGAAACTCCACAAAACCTGACCACAAGATCCTCAGCAAAGCGAGGAGACGCGAGAATCCATCGAAAATCCTGGTCATTATCATAATTATCCATTGTTTGGATCATACGAAGCCCCCCTCCCACACGCCTTTTTTCGAACCCAGTTTCTGCGCGTTGAACTTGAAGTAAAAGCGGGATTCGGGTGACTTACGCCTGGTGGTGTCCTCCAAGGCTCTCTGGAGCTCGGCGTAAGACATGGGCGGCAGCCCCAGAGCTTCCCCATACCGTCGGAGGAAGCCACAAACGACCGCATAGTCGGGATCCGTATCCACTCCTTTCTCCGGGCCCGACATGTTTGTATATTGAAGCGGCTCCCCGATTACCTTTATACTGTCGCGGTCGATCGAAAAGTTAGCTGGACGGATAAGGCAAAATCACGAAACGTTGAAACTACATAACAACACGCAAGAAAATTCTGTCAGAGTTTCTTCAGTTTGATCTGTGACAGATAAATTTATTATGAGACAGCGCTTGTGAGACAAAGAAAGTTAAGAAGATTAGAAAAACCGCCTCGCGCGGTGTATTTAAAAGCAGACAGATCAGCCGCGTCACCTAGCGAAATGAACTAAACCTGCAGGTAACACTGCGAACACTGGCACCTGGAGTATGGTTTTGTGTTATCAGCGCTATATGTAACTTTTGTATATTGTTCTTGGCAGCATCATACGTCTGGACTCTCTATAGTCTACCGAGAATAGCGTGCAGTCACACACACACAAAACAGACAAGTGATCCGCCCGTTTGACACAGATTTCGCGCTGCGGCTTCCTGACATACAGTCGATTCGCAACCCCTCGCGCCGTGGACGATTAAAAAAATCAGACCACTAGGAATTTCTTTATAACTGATTTGGGTATAGTCACGGTTTGGGTCTTTCTGCCAGCATCAGTCATTTCTGCCGAAAAATTTTATTTCTATATATTGGATTATCCTACACGAATATTCCCAATTTTGTGCGTTAATTTTGGAGTGAACGTAATGTTTTTTCTGTGCATTTTACCAAAATGAAAGAGGTTGAGGAAATTAACCAAACTCAGTTGGTCTTGTAGCTAGCTGGAGAGATATCCTTTAGTCCCATGCCCCATTCTCCTTCCAAATTATTCCACGGCAGAGACGGTTGCTAGATTTGAGTGAGGGTGTGCAGCTTCGAATAGAAACGCCAAATAAACTGGGGAGTGTGCCCCCCTTAATTTAGAGCTCTGCTAGCACCTGACCTCAGCCAATCGGGAGCTTGGATTTCTAGTGATTACTAGTATATCCACATAGTATCCTGTTTGCCAGCTAGCGCACCTCTCTCCCTACATTAGGGTTATGGTAGCCCTAGAGCTGAGCCTTCCCTCCATGTGTATCTTTTGGACAGTATGTGATATGTTGATATGAAATGGTTGCACGGAAACAGAAAGAGATTAATTTATCATGATGCAATATAAACCACGGTGAAAATTCGTGTTTAAGTTCGTGTTCGTGTACGTTGATGGAGGACATGTTTAGTTTCAGACAGCAGTCCCACTATTCTCTGAGTTGATCTCCCTAGCGACAAATTTGAGAACTACATGTCAGCTGGATTTTGCTCCAGTGTCAGACGATTAACAGACGGTGTTGCTACACGTGGCCACCTTTCCACACTCTGTACGGTGATTTATTGACATGACATAATTTACTATCTTTAGGTGGGCAAGTGTTGAGTTCAGTGTCCGACCGGAAAGTCATCAGACATGAGATATCTGTGTCCAAAATAGCCGATGGCGGTCCGGCTGGATTAGAAACAGATCAGGTTGGCCATACCTTTTAAATGAAATGTTCAGATGTCAATCAAGGCTATTCAAAGTCACGCTTCTTTCTCAGGTGTGCATGACTGATTGCACGTAAGCAAGGCAGAGTTCACATGAAGAACTGTAAATCGTATATACATACTATATAAATCGCAGACAGCATCATGAAAGTTTGACCACCGCAACAACTGGAGGTGGATTCCAAACTTTCTTTCTCTCAGTGTCTCCCTTATCTATCTCTCCATTTCTTTTCCTCGAGTTCTCGAGAAAGGTTTAGAGACGTAAAACAAATCAGAATGTGCCATACCCTGACTTGTCACTTGATACCTGTTGTGCAATGAAGCATAGACTTCCTTGCTCATTCCAACTCGTGGCGTGAATAAAGTATGGCAGTAGAACTAACACTGGGCTAGTACGAGAAGGTATCGTTGTAAAACTGTCAATAGAAGAACACACCGCGTATGAAAATCAAGAGTTGTATAAATACAACTTGCCTCAAAATAAAGAATGCTTGAAATGTTACAGGTAATATATGATTGTAGAACCTGAACTTGCAAATTACTTCTGTCTCTTTATCTGAAATGTATCATTATTTAAAAGTTGCCAGACTATTTTTCTTTTGCTATCATATACTTATCATTCTGTTCAATTCACTAATTGGAGACTCCCGATAGGAAGATCATATTCCACCGAGTCATCCAATCTTGTTTCCAGAGAAAACTTGCAGAGATCACACCTGACCTCTTGGTTGTACTTGGTACGGTGCCCAGATCCGGAACGTACAGCATGTCAAATACAAGTGTATATTATAGTTAGGGGACGGTTCACTAATAGGACTGGATGGTGTTAACGTTGTGAGAGGGAAATCGTCCTACAAACCAATAAAATTCACAGGACAGGGGTTAGAAGTTGCATGTTATTCGTTTTTCTTTCTTCGTGTTACAATTCTAGCTCGTTTTGTGAGTATGTAGCATATGCTTTTTGTCCCCCCAAAAAGTGGATATTTGCCCCCAACGAAAATAACAACTTGTTTTTATTCTTTAACATATAAACAAACTTTCAGAACAACATTTGATTGGAGAAATAATAATAATTCATATTTGGACGACCAGCTACTGTGTCAACAATTCATTTTGGTGTCAAGATGCGAGATTTCCTGATAAGTTAGAAAAACAAACGGTCGAGGAAGAAAATAGCTACTGTACATTGGGGAGGTACTGCTCTCTACAATACTAACACATAATGACTGACCCCCATCTTCAGCTCTCTCTATAGCAACGTTATCTCACTACGGTCCAGTGACAACTCAAATGTGTTTTCCCTTAGCGAGACTCTGTAGTATCTAAAGCACGTAGTCTGTAGACCCCACACGGCACAAATCAACCCGCACCCGGACCGTAGGATGGCTTCGTGGAAAGTCGCGATGACCGCAGCGGCGTGCCTCTGGTGGCTGGGCGGGGGAAGGTGCGAGGAGTACCGAGTACTCGTCATGATGACCACGACGCGTCACGACGTGGACGGGGACGCCGAGCTGTACTTCAGCGCCAAGCGGATGGCCGCGGGGGCTCTCATGGCCATCGACTCTGTCAACAGCGACCCAAACTTACTTTCTGGTCACGTCTTAACCTACACTTATGTCGACACGGAGTGCGACCCAGTGCATGGCACCGGTCAAGCCCTGGAAAATATTTTCAACGGAAGCTATAGTGGCTTCATCGGTCCTACCTGTTCCCAGGTCTGTAGACCTGTAGCTAACCTCGCAGCCTACTGGAATCTCCCCGTCTTTACCCCTCTGTGTAACGCCATAGACATGCACGACAAACACCACTTTTCGACTCTAGTGCGATTTTTCGGACCTGCTAAAACTTGGGGCAGTTTTTACGTGGCGATATGTAAGAGGTTCGGATGGAATCGTTTCGCTGTAATAAGTCACTGGGACATTGGCTGGACCATCCCCGCCAACGGAATTGTAGACCACGCCGAGGAACTGAACATGACCGTCTCCTCCTACCACGTACTGAGTCAGGACGACAGTCTGGAAAAAGTCCTGACACAGACGACAAAACACGCCAGAAGTAAGTCACGTTTTCCACATCGATCAACATTCCTATCTCTATATATCCATTTGGAAAATACCAACATTACAAAACATTCGTACCAAAATTAGGAACTTCGAACGGCCTTTTCTTTTTGTGAAGAACGACTATTGCTTTAGACGGTGTCACACAATTATAGCTATATATAGAAACTATTTTGAGAATGAGTAGACATATGCAATGTAGTTTTACTAAAAAAATCAACTAAAATCGATATATGGCAGGTACCGGCTATACAGTTATACGAATCCGCAATATTTTATTTATCTAGAAAAGTCTCCTTATTACCAAGCCTTACTCACAAGCTGCATTATATCCCTAAAGCCTAAGACAGCCTCTGTCATTGATTAAGAAATTGAGAGAATGGAATGTTCCATCAAGGCAAACTGTTCAGCTCATATTTCCGTGTTATCAGCCCTCTTGACTGATTAAATTTCCCGGCGTCATTTTAGTCACTTCTTGTGTGATTATCCAATCAAATATAGAACCGTAACATGAAACAGTCCTCCCTAAATTACATTCTACAGCCCTGAACTGAAAATTAAACTCTGAGATAGAGAAAATGTCTGCTACTGCTACTGGTGTAAGAAACAGGAGGAGCCAGTAAAAACCCATCTGGTCCCGGGCCGGGGTTTGAACCCACGACCGTCCGGGCACCAGAGCTTCATAACCAGACGCTCTAACCGCTCGGCGAAAAGGTTTAGACCTATCGGCCGGGTCAGTTGGTAGCGCCTATAAACCCCCCGCTGTTACACTGGACACAGGTTCAGACTGTAGTCGTTTTAGGCTTCTTTTACCCTCGCATGTGTGTAAAGTCTGAAAATATTTCATGATGTACGAACTAAAATAAATAGAAATGCTTCTGTTTACGAAGTTGGGATGCCTCGCACGCCATGCTGTTTACATTAACACATCGTAAAGCACGAAACTCGAGCACAAACTAATCTCGATGTGTGTACACGGTTTCTAATCTGGAGGCATGATGTGTGGTACATGAATCACCTGTCAAGGAACATCAAAGAAGACACACGGAAAGGATTTGACAAATTAATATAGACTTTTTTTTAGTACGGGACATTTTTCGAGGTAAATCGATAAATGCTAGACATCCCTGTAATGAGATACACAAGAAAAACGTTACTCAAGGAACTGGGTAGATTTTAAAAATTTTTTTATGACTTTTACTGACAAAAAGTAGTGGATACTACTTGAAACGTCTGACAATTTTCAAAATCTGACCAGTTCCCTGAGCTAGTGCCCTTCTTCTTGTGAGTTTTCGAGGTATTCTTATTTACGGACTGAGAGAAACATTGTACATGGGGTTTGACAAGTTATTCCAACACAGCCACACATTAAATGCCTTCCAAGAGCTTCCAATGAACTTTCAATGAGTCTTTTAGTCATCGTAATGACAAGTCCGATGTCAGCCTCGAGACTGATTTAACAGCCTGACTCAATACAAATTGACTAGGTATGACATATTGATTCTCATAAGATATCTAAAATCTTTAATATCTTAAATCACACTACAGACAAAGACAAGACCACCACATTTCAAAGAGTCAATCCACTGCTACATCGTACAGTAAAACTCTGGGATAAACATAGAGCATTTCCTTCCTTCTCTTTCCTCAGTTATTTTGCTGTCGGCTCCCGGAGACCTGATCCGGCGCCTGATGCTGACTGCGCACGACCTGGGCCTGACTGGCGGGGACCACGTCTTCTTCTGTCTCAGGTACTTTCGGCACGACGAGATCTTCGGCAACTTCTCCTGGAAAAAAGGTCAGAGACGTGAACAGAAAACTTTTTGTATGTTCGTTCTTTATGCATACGTGGTTGAATTGAATGTGTTTCACAATAAGAGAAACCTGTGGCTATTTTGAACTGAAGAAAGCTGTTGAAGTTGAGTCCAGCGTTGCTAGCTTTGGTCCGCTTCCGAAAGATCGATCCGCTACCCCACCAACACTTGTGAAATTGTGGGGGCCACGAGAGTCCATAAATGGTGAACAGAAGTTCTGAACGTCCGCCGGGGTGAATAGGACGATAATGATGATGGATAAATTGTATTTCACAATAAGAAAAACCTGTGGCTATTTTGAGATGAAGAAAGCTAACTTAAGACTACCGAAAATATTTCTCTTATTGTATCGAAACACAGTTATAAGTCGACTACAACTTCCGTTGGAAAGTTTGTACTCGTATGACACCCGTATGAGCAAACTTAAAGTCCCATCGTTAAATGCGCATAACAAATGGCATATATTCAAGTCGGTTTGCTGAGTATATTGAAGAGGAATGTCACCTCATGACCCTTTTAGCTGTATGATCGCACTACCATTAGCCGTACGCGTCTCATGAAGTATAAGTGCTGAAAGCTGGTATCAGAGCGTAAAGTTTTAGAGCATTCTATGCGGAAATGGGACGAAAACAATAAAATATACGCTTTTGTCAAATACTGTATAATGCATCAACGACAGAAGGGCAAAAGAAACGTCTAAGCTTATTAGTTATTCCACAATAGCTTCTCCTACTCATGAAAATTCACATCTGTGTTTTTTGAGAGTGCCCATATTTTTTCACGGCCTGTGTCTATCGCAGTTCGCCCTCCTCAAAACACATTTTCCGGGCTATTAAAGGTGTACTATGTACGCAGACATCCGGTTCTAGGCGTAAATTTTCAGGAAATGGCAGCTTTCTGATGTCGGCTCACGTCACATGTCTGAAAGCGCTGTGCTTCTAATGATGTATAGAGGTGTTAACTTTCGGAAAGACGTCACGTGCATATCCTAATGTCATTTCCACACGAAGGAATGCCTGGTGGTGTACAAATAGAGCGATGCTACCAAGAATTTCTGACAGAAAGTTCATACAGTTCATTTCCATTTCATTTTGCCTTCTAAAGTCAGACGAACGGGAAAGAAAGAAAGAGAACGAAAGAAAGAGAACGAAAGAAAGAAAGAACGAAAGAAAGAGAACGAAAGAAAGAAAGAAAGAAAGAAAGAAAGAAAGAACGAAAGAAAGAGAACGAAAGAAAGAAAGAAAGAAAGAGAGAGAGAGAGAGAAAGAGAGAGAGAGAGAGAGAGAGAGAGAGAAAGAAAGAAAGAAAGAAAGAAAGAAAGAAAGAAAGAAAGAAAGAAAGAAAGAAAGAAATTCGAAGGAAGGAAATGTGAGATTGTTCTATGATGGACTTGCTAAATTTACTTCTAAGTTTTTCTTTCATCTGTTTTCAAAAGACCTCCCAAGCACATATGAAGACCAAGATTGCTGGAACGACAAATACACAGATAAGCCATACCAGACAAAGTTGACAATTTCAGCTAACTTAAGGCATAAAAACAAAATAAACGGTCAAAGACCACAGAAGTTGCAAGTCGGCCTTGCCTTTACGGTTTGTAGCACTCTGCCACTGATATAAATAAACTCAGTTATCAGTAGTGAGTTCAATCGACATATTTTAGGGTCTGCGATCCAAAACAAACCCCCGGGCACATGTCAGGGCAAGTTTATCAGGTGTGTATACATCCAATAGTGTAAACAATCCGGACAAGTCAGTTAAACGTCGGAGTAGAATGACTTTCCTGACCGAGTCCTTGTTGCGGCTGGTTTGATTGTGTAAAGCTTTATCAAGTGCACTTGTCAGTGTTAACCTTGTGGGAGAACGCGAGGATTCGATTGTATTGTTTCATTATTGTCGATGAAGGTTAGACATCCAGGTAATACGATATGCCAAAAAACAGTTACTCAAGCAACTGGATATGATTTTGAAAACGTCATCAAAATCATATCCAGTTGCTTGAGTAACTGTTTTTTGGCATGTTTCATTATTGCATTCCCTTTGTGTATTTCGGCCTCCCTCGAGCTCCGTTCTCTCTCCCTCTCTCTTTCTCTCTTGTGTGTGTTTGTTTGTTTGTTCATGTGTATGTGTATCTCTCTGTGTGTTTGCATGTGCATGTGTGTGTGCATGCATGTGTGTGTGCATGCATGTGTGTGTGCATGTACGCGAACGTGTGTGCGTGTGTGTGTTTGTGTCTCTCACTGTCTAAGATCAGTGCACTTCATTCTTGCCCACATCTTAATTCTTGAAAATGCTTTTTTTTCCTCCTGACGTTTCTCTAGGCGACTCCCGTGATGACGCCGCCCGTGAAGCCTACAAGTCGTTATTCATGCTGTCTGTGTACAGGCCAAACAACGACGATTCTCGCACTTTCTCGCGTGACGTCAGACGACGATCTCGTCAGACGTTTTCCTATGAATTCCACCCAGACGAGGAGGTAAAATTGTTTTAAAAAATTAACGCATCGTTTTACAAATGTACCCGTTATGAAAATTAAGTTGTGATAAACACCTAATCATATAGCTTAGGCTTTCATATATTGACTAATGACTACCTTCTGAAATGAGACTGTATTCAACTTTAGTGATGCGACTTTTGTCTTTGATTTTCCATGTTGTTTTTCTAGGTGTCGGTTATGGCTGCTATTGCATACGACACCGTGAACATCTACGCGCATGCTCTCAACGAAACCCTGGCGTTCGGGGAGGATCCGTACGACGGGCGCCGCCTAGCGGAGAGAGTGCGAAATAGAACCTTCGGAGGTTAGCGGCAGTTAAAAACTACATTTCATAACTAGATTACAGTAAATTTACGGAATCAATTAAAAAAACCGTTCTATACGTGGATACTTAAACCATTAGAATATTTTTTACTCGCATGTTCATTACAGAATGACGCTAGGTGTTAACATACTCAGGCATGGTTGAACTCAGCACAACGGCAGAACGTACTATGCCTGTTCGAAACACGGAATGTATTGTACATAGCACTTCGACAGAACGTCTCATTTAAGGTCGCATTGACGTATTTGACGTACACAGCGTCCATAATTTTCAAAAGTTGTACCGGAAAAGACATGCATCGTCTGCAACGGGCAAAATTCTGATGCAACATTGAAATCGTAGAAAATCTGAGCTTGGCGCGGGCGCAGTATGTTCTGCCGACGTGCTGTTGGACTCAAGCCAACGAAAACAAGCATAAGGCCAGCTATAGATACAAAAGACAGATGATTGCTTCTACAGTGTCATAACTATCAAAGGTACCGTTTAGCTGGGGACCATTGCCATCCTTGTCTATAAGTTGTTGTTGTGTCTGTAGGAGTGCAGGGTTGGGTGACTCTGGACGGTAACGGTGACAGGGAGACTAACTACATGATGTACAGCTTCCAGGACGGCTACATGAAGGTCAGACAACTCACCATTCGATTTCAGCCGCTACTGTTAGATTTTTCTTCAAAACAATTATCAAGAACAGCCACCTTTGTCGCATCGTGTCGTTAGGTGATGCTGTCACTTGCTTTATGACCGGACCAAGATCGCTGTACGATCGCAAACTGATGTTATACGACGTACAAAATTCAACTGTCTTGTCGTACAGAAAACGTTATCGTGGAACCTTGTTGGGTCCTTGGTTGGTTCTGTCACAAACTGCTTGAAAATTCTATGTCGTAATGTATCAAATCGTACGACTGACGAAAGCGACTTGTTAGATGATATAGCATTACTGTTGGTGACTCCTCCACTGCGTTTTTCCTTCTATATGTCTGCATGCACTGGGCTGCTTTCAGCATAACATTGATGAGAAAATTAACATACAAACAACATACAAAGCTAGGCTTGATCGTCACGTACTAGTATGTTTTCCTACTCCAGGCGGTGGGGTACTACTTTGGTCTGAGCGGGAAGTACGAGGACGTGCCGGGCACGAGGATCAGGTGGGCCGGGGGAGGCCACACACCCCCTCCCGATACTCCGAACTGCGGCTTCGACGAGGAACTGTGCCCGTTCGGTAAGCAGTAGTATGGTTGAATTGTGCACCGGTGATAGCCTCACCAGGCTTTGGGAGGCGACTGGGTAGAGTAAAAAAATGGTCAAATAGAGAGATAACATGCAGGGAGAGTTGGTCCGCTAGAGAGTACATGTGCGACCAACTCCCTCGGAATATTATCTCTCTATCTGGCCAAATTCTACTCTATCCAGTCGCCTCCCAAAGCCTGGTAGAGGCTACACCAGTGATTTGTCAGCACAAAAAAAATCCATGTCAGATACCAAAGGCGAGCAGTAAACAATAAGGGAATACCAAGAAATGTGATATCTTTATCATATGTAACGTTAATGAACCTGTATGTGGACACTTTTCTACACATAGTTGGGAAGGTCTGCGCTGTTTGAGTGATTTTACATACTGTTGATGACACGTTTCTCGTTCGCCATTTCAGATCTCCGCAATGGTCGGTATGGACCTATCTATACCCTGGGCTTGGCGCTGGTTTTTCCAATTATATTGCTGTTAGTCGGATACACCATCTATCACAGGTGAGAAAAGTCACTCACAATCATTCCGGAGTAAATATTGAAACATCACAAGTAGTACAATGTTCTACATATAGATATCATCGATGCTACTTTTGTCTTATCAATGAGTAAAAACTACCCTGGACTAATCTAACGTTCTTTCTAATATCATGTATATTCTACTACACCAGACACACTATGGAAAGGAAGCTTGCCTTCAAGACATGTCAGCTGAGATCTCAGGACATCATCCCTATCAGAACACGTTCTACGTGTGCTAAGGTATCATTTTAAGCTATAGACAGTTCATGTTTTTCTTTGTTTGGGGTGATTGATTTGATCCATGGTAAGTAAGCAGAGAAGGGACAGAAATTTTACTTTTTTGTGTAATAAATTTCTCTCTTTTGTGTTGACACTAGAATTCTCTGTCGTCTGGCCAAGAAAACTCTCCTTGCAAGCTGGCGGAATATAAGGTAGGGAAACTCATTATGGACATTCCAGAATAAGGGGGAGGGGGGCATATCATCAACAGGTGGTAATAAACTTGTTAGAGAGTCTGCATGTGGGGTTCCTGGTAACCATGAACGGTAAATTCAGCAGGACCGACATCGCTTTTCGGTAAATTCAGGAGGATCGGCAACGCTTAACGGTAAATTAACTCATTTTTATTTCTTGTTGGTATTTTTCATTCGTACATGTACAGCGCTAGGTTCAGGAACCTCTGAGAAAAGTGATCAATGGCAATGTGCTGTTACGTGTAGCTTACAGTGAAAATAACGTACGCCTAAAGAAAAGGGGCATGCAGACCCTCCTGTAGGTGTAGCATATAGCGTAACTGTTGTTAACATGTTCCCTTTGATTTTCTCTACAGAACACAGTTTACATCATGAAGGGACTGAAAGTTGACGGAAGCCGTGCGACAATGAAACGGGGGATCCTGAAGGAACTACAACAGGTTTGTGCATTTCCTATTTCTGCCGCATGGAGGCGCTCAGATGCTCAGAAAATAACTCTTATATATGCTAAGCGTGGATCCAAATAAAGTCAAACTCATTATTTACTGATGTATTTCTACAGTTGTGTGAACTGAACCATCCCAATCTGGCCCGGATTGTCGGCGCATGCCTAGAAGCGCCCAACTGCTGCGTCCTGATAGACCACTGCTCCAAGGGCAGCCTACAGGTGACGTCACACATTATTATTATTATTGATATTTATCATTTTCTTTAGCCAGGGTAGCCCACTCAGTGATTGAACACTGCTTTGCTTTGTAACATACAAATAATAAAAAAAAACAATATGGCAAAACGTACAGAAAGTACTTATAGGAAAAAATAAACGTGTACGAATTTACAAACTTTTTATACTTTTCTTCAAAAGCCATTATCCATACTCATTGCATGCGATTGTCAGCAATTTGATCAGATGTAACACTACACTGGATCAACATACGTACTGTCGATAGCCAATCAGCACCAAGGAAAGGGCAGGGCAAGTGCAATGTTTGACAGTTATGTGCATAACATTTGGGAACCCTACCTGATCCGGAGTTGTTGTTTTTTTGCTCCCGATTTTAGGATATACTGAAGAATGAGTCCATCAAACTGGACTGGACTTTTCGGTGGTCTCTTATTATGGACATAGTGAAAGTGAGTATTGCGCAAATTCACACATAACATAATTATATAACTAAACCCCTCCAGCTACTATTAGAGAGATAGCCATGTCAACACATAGAAGCTTAACGTTCTGTTCTAATGGACATATATAATATGGAACATGTTTGACCGTCGAAATTCTATTATATGTTTTGAACTACCATCTAATACATTTTACTACATGTAATTACTAGAAATCAAACCCACTGATATGTACGCATACATTTTTGAGTGCAGGGTTGAATTGTAATATTTCATGCCATCTTCTCATTGGTCACTATACAAGGGTATGGAGTACCTGCACAACAGCTTCCTGAAGTGCCACGGGAGTCTGAAGTCTACTAACTGTGTGGTGGACAGTCGGTTTGTGGTCAAGATCACCGACTTCGGCCTCTGGCGGCTGAGAAAAAAGAAGCGTATTTCTGTCGAAGAGCCCAAATCTGACGCACTTCTTCTCAACAACAACGCTGTTACTGCACTGAAACATGCACAAGGTAGGGTTTCAATTCTACCATTTTTGCGTGCTATGTGTGCTTATTGTATGTGAAGAAAGTCAAAAGGTAAGTGATTCTTAAGTCGATAATACGTATATAATTTGCACTAATGTATTTAAGTCTCTAGTGAATCTGGGCTGTATATGTGCAATTTTTCATATGGAAACTCTGGTGAAATGAACAACAGTAAGATGCCCATTTCTGTTTGTTTGCAATTGATTTACCTACATCACCATGAATGTTGATGACGTGATTTTTGTTCAGACCAGCTCTGGACGGCGCCGGAGATCCTACGTGGTAAGACGGAGAGATCTCAGAAAGCTGACGTCTACAGTTTTGCACTTATTCTGCACGAGATCGCCTTCAGAAGAGGGGTGTTCTACCAAGAGGGGAGCCAACTATCGCCAAAAGGTAAGGATAATGGATTTCTAAATACTGGGAGGCACGTTTTTACCATGCATTTGACAATTTTTTTACAAAGTATTATCACGTATAAGGTGATTTCTTTACAGGCTCAGGGACAGGGGTTCCACAAGGCACCGTTCTTGGACTTGTTATTCCGGAGGGCCAAAAATGATGCCTTGGGGAACCCATATGGTCTTACCAGACCAGGTGGGGTAAAAATATTACATCTCCATGTTGTCGTTTTGCAGACATTGTAACCCGAGTGGCGCTGTCTCTGTCCGGAGTACCCTTCCGACCGACAGTTTTGGAGGAGGACTGTCCAGTGGGACTGTCCGGTCTCATGACACAGTGTTGGGCAGAAACACCGGAGGAGAGGCCGGACTGTAAGGTCATCGGCGCAGTCGTGAGAAGAATAAGTGGGTATGTTTCCCCCCAAACACAATTTTTCTGTCTTCCGTAAGTGACGTTATTGCACATATACTACATTCTACGGAGTCTGGTCGAAGGAAAATGTTACGAAACAGTGACTATTCGACTTTCTTTTTGATAGAAATGATTATAATAGAGCCTACTTTTAGGCACGAGGGTACAACGAAAATACTAGATTCATTGACATTTCATGTTTGCTCCATTTGATATCGTTATAGTTTTCGAGAACACCCCAGAGTTTCCAACAAATATTTGAGCCCTAACTCTAACCCGATTCTCATGCTAGTGACCTTATCCTTCGATAACATGCATTAGTTTTTAGGAACCCATGATGTTTATCTGTTTGTTTGTTTGTTTGCTTTAGCATGAAGAGTGAGAACATCCTGGATAACCTGCTGGCCCGTATGGAGCAGTACGCGGATAACCTGGAGTCGCTGGTGCAGGAGAAGACTGCGCAGGTTCTGGACGAGAAGAAACGGGCAGAGGACCTGCTGGAACGGCTCTTACCAAGGTCAGATCGTCCTTCAAACTGTTCATGTTTATCCACCCCTACCTAACAACACAAGACATTTGAGAAAAAAATTGTGATATTTAGTGACGTCACGTTATGTAGATGGCCCACGTGACTTGATGAGCAGTTGCAATACAACCATCCCTCAACAAAGACGGGGGGCGCCATAGACTTTCTGCAACATATGATCCACTGCACACCGAGTGGTATGTGTGTTATCTACATAACGTGACGTTACAGAAGTGTTCGATCTCTCATTCTTTGACAAAGGCAGGCAAAGACTGGAGATGTACAATTGAAAATGTGGGTAAGCCCAATTTCTTGTGATAGAAAGTACAATAGTCTTTAAAATTGCATCATACCTAAAGAACCTGTTTCATCTCTACCAGGACTGTGGCGAATCAGCTGAAGCACGGAGGCACGGTCCACCCCGAGTCGTATGACAGCGTCACCGTGTTCTTCAGCGATATCGTCGGCTTCACGGCCATGTCTGCCGCCAGTAGCCCCATGGAAGTACGTGCAATTTCGTTTCCTTCAAGTTTTGGATTATCAAATAGCAAAGAGGTCTTTTAAACATTAAGAATGCATCATATAGTGAACACCCGGTCTTAAAATAGATGCTTTGACTTTATAATTATTTTGGATCCACATTTAGCTTTAGCATTTAGCTTAGCTATTCTTCCAGTGGTCCATTACATAATACAGTACAACAGTACAAAATAGGAACTGCCACACAATAACATTGACACATGGTAACAACACAGACCACCATACTTGAAAATACTTGAGTTATGAACAATTTTTTCTTTGTCAAAATCAAGACCTCTTTTATTTTGAAGGTTGTGGACATGCTGAATGACCTGTACACCTGTTTCGATGACATCATCGGTAATTACGATGTTTACAAGGTACGTGAATCTGCTCCTTTGGAATCAAATTCCTGGTTAATTAATTTGTTCTTTATCAATCTAACAGCCTCTGAGACTGCCGAGACTTTTGTTTAAAGTTGTTAGCCCGTCCAGTCTATCGCGGTTGGGGCGGGTTCTCTTCGGGACTGCAGATGCTCTTTCCCGCCCGACTCAGCTAGGTTGCCCGGTAGGTTTTCTCGTAGGGGCTGTTCGTGGGGCTAATCAACTCCTGACGTGCAAACTCCTACAGGCGTATTAAACACTCCTACCGGGCGGTCTGTTTAGCTGGACGGGGGAAAACTATTAGAGCCCTGAAAACAGCCTGGCCCAAACACGATAGACTGGATACAAGGCTATATAGTCGTGTGCATGACGTATTAACTGGTCAGGCATAAAGCACAGATATATGACAACGCACACCAGCATGGATTTAAATGCTGTAATTTCAGGTGGAGACGATAGGAGACGCTTACGTCGTGGTGTCCGGACTACCGGAGAGAAACAGTAACCACGCCGCGGAGATACGCCCGGATGGCCCTGGAGATGCTCCGGGCGGTCCAGACCTTCAGAATCAGGCACAGGAAATCTGAACAACTCAAACTCCGAATCGGCATCCACACTGGTAAGTCCATCGAGTTATATTCATCGAAAAGAAATTGGCTTTTTTTGCCAGTGTTGTGCTTGTCATTTATAGCAATAGAAAAGACAATGATAATAACTTGAAGGGTATAATAACAATATGCTAAATAACAGGGTGTGGAGGAATCCCCTAATGATCTATATATTATAGCTAAGATGTATTTTTCTATGACTGTAATTATGGGTTCGTGGTGTGGTGAAACCATATTGCTTTTTCTGGTGTTTCTTCTCCTTCTCCTTCTCCTGCCATTTTTTAAATGGATTCAGCTTCTTCATTTTAGGGCCCAAGGTCCTGAAATTTGGTATGGAGGTACAGTGGGCAAATACCCCTAGGCGTTTTTAAATTATTGTGATACAGGCTTTTAGTAATGGTTTTATTTGAGTTTTTTGGTCTGTGTTATAGCAAATGTATTACTGTGTTAGGGTGCCTTGTTTACCACGTTTGGACATGAGTCATCACAATGGAATGCAGGGCATCAACCAATAGGCATGCAGCTTTCCTCTATACTTCTTGCTGATTGGCTGTTGGGATTTAACTTGATTAACACCTGCACAGAGCATTTCCACCTGCACAGAGCATTTCTTGCTGATTGGCTGTTGGGATTTAACTTGATTAACACCTGCACAGAGCATTTCCATACTGACAGTATGTCTGTATTCAAGTGTTTTGGTAGGTATTTCAAGCTTTCCTGCTCCAGCATTGGAATGCGGGGCATGGACGTTTTTTTTTTATTTTGAAAATCAACAGTTTGCATTATGCAATTAAAAATCCTAACCAATAAAGTAGGGAATAGCTATCCAACTGTTGTTTTAGTTGTATTTTACTTCATATTATAGTTATATCAATGTAAATCATTGTTTTCCCTTGTGTTTCTCATTCTTTCCCTGCCATGTCGTAAAATGTGGTGAACCCATCGCTGTATTTGCTCCAAAGCAAATATTGGCCTTTCTAGTATTGTTACTGATTTTATCGCTCCCTAAAGTTTTTATTACCATAGATATTGACTAATAAATGTGTTAGCCATAGTTTTAGATGATAGCTTTGTTCAACTTGTCGTCATATTTCCTTATGTACGAGTGTAAGACCACACAATTCAGCCTGTGGGTTGCCAGTTGTTCACTTGCAATAAACCAAACTATTATTATAATCTTGTGATGCCATGGTAGTAAGAGTTGTTTACATCACAAACTCATGCGCACGTCTCAAAGTAACGCGAGACTTCTGCCGAGACTTTGTATGATTATTGTGGCGTATGTCCAGGTCCGTGCGCGGCCGGGGTGGTGGGGAGGAAGATGCCTCGGTACTGTCTGTTCGGCGACACCGTCAACACAGCGTCACGGATGGAAACATACGGAATGGGTAACGGTTTACTCTTGTTCTGACTGTCTTCAGCTAGGTTTATGATAATGGTCGTAATGTGTACCTCTCCAGACATCCATTCACCCGGCAGTGATAACTGTAAAGTGCACTTTAATATCATTGCCGAGTGAAATCACACATAACACAATCTAATATCTTGCTTGCCTGCGCATGCTATATTTCTTAGAGCACCACTTCATTTCAGGTATTTGTTCAGGATTAATACACGTCACAGGTGGTCAGGAAGTGTAGAAGGGTGTGCATGTTATGAGTGTTCCCTTTATGAAATACTAACGCCATTCGTAATTTGTAGAGCTACTTATGGTCTGCAGTGTCCAGCTTCCTTACCCTGTACTGATGTCGTGTAGTATTGAAAGTTGTTTGTGGTCATTTGTGTCCACCTAGCCCTCAGAATCCACGTCAGCGAGAGCACCTACCAAGCCCTGTGTCAGACAGAAAGATTCCTGCTCGAGTCGAGAGGAGAAATGGACATAAAGGTAATGTGCATATTTATCGATTTATCAGTACGTTTCATCATAAACATATCA